CTAAATGGGAAAATCAAAGAAGACCAAAGAGGCTTTCTTCCGGGCAGACTAATGAGAGACAATGCAAGGGTAATACTTAATGTTATAGAGTACTATGAGAAAAATCGCCAAAAGGAAGTAGGATTGCTTTTTCTAGATGCAGAAAAAGCTTTTGATCAAACAAATTGGGACTTCCTATTTCTAATGCTAAAGGAGTTAGATATTGGTTACTCTATATTAAGCGCAGTAAAGGCAATGTACTCTAGACAAACAGCAAAAGTACTAGTAAATGGCCTGCGCACAGAAGATATTGAGCTAGAAAGAGGGGTGAGACAAGGGTGTCCCCTGTCTCCTTTATTGTTTATCTTAGTGAAAGAAGTCCTGTTAGAAGATTTAAGAAATGATAAAGAGCTAAAAGGTCTCAAAATTAGAACAGAAGAATACAAAACTTTAGCTTTCGCAGACGATGTGGTCTGTATTATGGAAAATCCAGTAGAATCCATTCAAAGATGGATCCAAAAAATCGAAAAATTTGGGAAACTTGCTGGGCTGAAGATAAATAGGAATAAAACAAAAATTATTACAAAAAATGTCAAGATAGAGAGAAAAGAGAAAATCTTTAAGAACTCAGGGATAGAAGTGGTAAATAAAGTCAGATACTTAGGCATTACAATCTCATCTTCTAATATACATCTGTTTAGGGACAATTATGACAGGGTATGGAGTAACATACAAAAGAAGTTCAAAAATTGGAAGTACCTAAATTTGTCTATACTTGGGAAGATTGCAGCCATCAAGATGAGCGTGCTGCCCCAGATGTTACACCTGTTCCAAATGATTCCAATTATTAAGACGAACTCATGCTTCCAAAAATGGAACAAAGATATTCGGAACTTCATATGGGATGGGAGAAAGGCCAGGATAAAACTCCAAAATCTTACGGATGCCAAAAACAGGGGAGGATGGGGATTGCCAGATATACAGTTATACTTTGAAGCCTGAGCGCTATTGTGGGTTAAAATATGGGCTATTTTAGAGCAAAAGAAAATACTGACATTAGAAGGCCACGATATAAGAAGAGGGTGGCATGCTTACCTTTGTTACGGGAAAGCGAGAATAGAATACAATTTCACCAATCACTATGTCAGAGCCGCCCTACTGAAAATATGGAATAAATATAAAGATGTCATGTATCCCCAAATACCCATGTGGGCATCGCCAGTGGAGGCTCACCACAAAAGAGAAATACCGAAAAACAGATGGCTCAACTATAGACAATTGCTGACAAAAATTAATAACGAATGGCACCTGAGACCAATGGAAGAATTGAAGGGAGAAGACAAAGAAATAAACTGGTTACAATATATGCAAATCAAACAATGCTTCAAGGAAGATCTAAAGGTGGGATTTAGTGAAAAAGAAAGTTGCTGGGATATAATCATGAAAAAAGAGAAAAAACTGATTAGAATATTATATAGGAATCTGCTTGAATGGAGCACTGAGAGGGAGGTGGTAAAAGAGAATATGGTCAAGTGGGCTAGGGACATAGGTCATTCTATATTATTAAGTGAATGGGAGCTAGTATGGAAAACCAAATTGAAATACACCAAATCTATTAATATTGTTGAGAACTGGTTTAAGGTTTTCTATAGATGGCATCTGACTCCAGTCCAACTAGCCAAGTTCAGCAAAAATCCTAATAACCAATGCTGGAAGTGCGGAAAAGAAGCTGGCACTTATTTCCATATGTATTGGAACTGCAAAAAAATAAAAACTTTTTGGAGAATGATACACGAGCATACACAAAATATTATAAAAACGAAATTTGAAATAAAACCTGAATACTACTTACTAAATACAACGGAAATTGGTTTGGGAAAAAATGAAGAAAAAATTCTTTTCTATTTATCATCGGCGGCTAGAATACTAATAGCGCAAAAATGGAAAAGTAAAGAGATTCCCTCCAGGGAAGAATGGCTAAAGAAAATAATAGATTACAGGAACTATGATAGACTATCGTGCTTACTAGAGGAGCAGAATAAGAACAAATAAATAAATTGGAAATATCTTGAAGAATACCTAAAAGGGAAAATCAAACTGGACATATAAATTTCTATGGGAAAAGAAATAAGAATTGTGAGAGGAAGGCAAAAGAATAAAGGAGACAAATAACTACTCTCTGCGGACTGAACGGAAGTTGTATATATGTGTGTATACCCCTACCCCAATACCCCCACCCTCTATCCTCCCAGCCCTCTCTTTCCCCTCCCATACCTACCCTTAATTCTATCCCACACAATCTGTCTAAACTCTATAACTTTCTATCACAATGATTGTTCCTCCTCTTTCACTGTAAACGAAAAATTGCATAAAAATATTAAATTAAAAAAATTGACCAAAAAATCCTGGATCAATTTATTCTTGGGTCAACATCATTTCTGTACCTTCTCTTATTAAAAAAAAGAATCATCCCCTTCTCTGAAGAGAGTGGTGAAAGGTAAGAATTTAGCCCATTTCTGAAGAACCAGAAAGCAGCTCAAACCCCTACTACTCTCTGCCAAAGCTGACCTCAGGGAGTGCTGGGCTTTCCCCTCTCCAAAAAACCCTCAACTTATCCAGGGATCCTATCAAAATTCATTACCGTGACTGCCAAACCTGCCCGTGATTTATCCAAATTTCAGACATCCCAATATACTTCACCTTTGTCTTGGAAATGTAATTTGCAGTGATAAGCTAGTGAGAAGCCCACACAGACCTATTGCTCTTGTCCTGCCTTTTTTCTGGAGCAGGTTAAGTACTATTTCCGTGATGCACACTGCCTGGTGTCCTACTGGGACATATGTATGAGTCACCTTTCCTTACTGGAGATGCCATCTGAACATGAGGAAGAACTTCCTGACTGTGAGAGCCGTTCAGCAGTGGAACTCTCTGCCCCGGAGTGTGGTGGAGGCTACTTCTTTGGAAGCTTTTAAACAGAGGCTGGATGGCCATCTGTCAGGGGTGCTTTGAATGCAATATTCCTGCTTCTTGGCAGGGGGTTGGACTGGATAGCCCGTGAGGTCTCTTCCAACTCTATGATTCTATTATTCTTCTGAGGTGGCTCAGTCTAGCATAGGGTCTTCTGCTATGTTGAGCCACACGGGAATTATGCTCTATATTTGGGAGAGTCAGTCTCACTGAAAAACTTTTGACTAAGCGATCATAAGGAAGGCTGAGTGAGGGAAGATAGTGTTGCAACTCAGGCTAGTATTCACCTTGCTCCAGGCACCACCACACCAAAGCTGTAGGTTTTTGTAGTTTATTGAAAAAAGCAAAAACAAAACACAGAAATAGAAATGCAATAGGCCCATAGGCAAAACAGAGACTTAAATGCAAAGGCAAAGTTCCCAAGATCCAAAGGCAAAAACCTGAAGCATAATCCTTTAGCAATGGTCAAACAATAGTCCATGGTAAACAGTTGAAAACAAGACCCAAATCCCAGACTCAGGAAGCCAGAAGGGTGCTGCTAAAAGCCAAGGAAATTCTCCAGAAGTTAACATGGGAAGAGCAATATTGGACTGACAACTGTCTGTCAGCCACAAGACTAAATACCCTTTGCGAACATGAAAGCATTGCGTTGAGCTTGTTTGGCTTCTTGCTTGCTGGCCAAGCGAGTGCTTCTCCGAAGCCTTAATTGCAAACAATATTGTCTGCTCATTAATTCATTATCTGCAAGGCTATGCAACCCCTTAATCTGTGTCCAGCTGGGACGGATCCTCCACCTGGCTGTTTGGGATTTCACTCTCACTATCAGTCTCTCTAACTTTCCCCTGAGAACTGACTTGCTGTGTCTCCTTCAGCCCTGTCTGAAACATGTACAGGAATCTGTAACCCATCAGCCTCCTCGTCATCCTGTAGGCCAAAGTCAGGTTCAGAAGGCCCAAATAGGCAACCTGCTCAGCTTCAGACTCAGAGTCAAGCTGAGTCACAACAGATAGACGCTTTTGAACTGTGGTGTTGGAGGAAAATTCTGAGAGTGCCTTGGACTGCAAGAAGATCCAACCAGTCCATACTCCAGGAAATAAAGCCTGACTGCTCACTGGAGGAAAGGATAGTAGAGGCAAAGATGAATACTTCGGCCACATGAGAAGGCAGGAAAACTTGGAGAAGGCAATGATGCTGGAGAAAATGGAAGGAAAAAGTAAGAGGGGCCGACCAAGGGCAAGATGGATGGATGGTGTCCTTGAAGTGACTGGCTTAACCTTGAAGGAGCTGGGGGTGGCCATGGCCCACAGGGAGCTTTGGCGTGGACAGGTCCATGAGGTCACAAAGAGTCAGAAGCAACTGAACAAATAAACAACAACAAAGCGACTCTCAGTTTACACCCCTTTACAAAGGTTCTATGTTTTTCTCATCCTTGATTTGCTGTACACTAATTTCCTGTTAAAAACAGTTGCACTTCCTCTGGAGTGATGCTTTCTATTTTAATAAATCTTTTTTCCCATTCAGTAGTACAGTGCAAAGTGGATCCGGTCTGTTTTAATCTACTCTTAGCTTCCTTCTTACCTGGATTAACCTTAAGAAGATTAAGAGACAAGGATAATATTTTAAAAAATATGGAGAGGGCCTAGTTGAGCGACCAAAGTGAAAACAGCATTAGCAACCATGCCAGGGGATTTAAACTGCCAACTTCTCTCTACATTGCTGCCCTTTCCTTCCTTTTCTCCACATTAGATTTGATGACCAAGGTTGTGTGTGTTTAAGACAAAGCCTGCCAACTGTTTCTGTGACATTTCCTCACGACGTACAATAAAACAAGGGTATTTTCCCCATCTGTTTGCCTGCTCCAATCTGTACTTTACACCATGTAGTTTATGATGATGACTGAATGTTTTGAGATAGGTGCTCAGTGTTTGCTTTTAAATTTATGTCAACCCCAGCTATTGAAGCAGGGCCTGGCACGTGGTTTTAGCTTGCCACTCCATGGTGCGCATGCCCACTTTTAAGAACATATATTGACATAACACTTTTTTTATTCCCAGGAGTTAGAGGAGTTTTGCTTCCGATTTTGCATAAACCACCTGACGGTAGTTACTCAGTCTCCAGGCTTTGCAGAAATGGACCATGACCTCTTGAAGAACTTCATTAGCAAAGCCAGTCGAGTTGGAGCATTTAAAAACTAAAGGAAGGACTTCTGCACCAACATGAAAGGCGTGTTCTTCTGGCACGGATGCTTGAAATGTCAAGATGCTGCCTGGACGCAGGGTGTGCTTCTTGTTGAAATTAACATGCTTGCAGTGTGGGTTGCAAGCACAGCCATTACCTTTGTGGGTTGAAAGGGTAAGGAGCTGGACGCAAAATTACATATAAGATAAAGTTTCCACTTAACATTACAGAAGGATGTGAAGACTTTTCCCCCCTTAACGTTTGGAAACTGCTGCTTGGTGAAACTAACATTTATTTGGAAACTTTTGGAAACTGCTGCTTGGTGCATTCACATTAGAAACAGTGGTGTTAGTAGTCCAGAGAGGTGATGTAAAAATGCTGCCAAACACCTACTAAGTGAACAACTCCTATTTAGGTGTGGGAAGGGGAACTGCTACATGATTTCTCCTTTTCTGCTGCTTTCCTTGTGGAATTCCCCCATTGCCTAAGCCTTAGTTCAAGCATGGCGCAAAACCTGTCATTTTGGGGAGTGGAGCCTTTTCTGTGATCAGAATCATGTAGGTTGCCTTTTAAATAAGTTTTCAGGCTATTTCAAATGTTCTACTTGCTTGTTGAAACTCTGAGAAAAAGAGGGAGCAGGGCACCTGTAATTAAAAATGGAAAGGAGTAGTTGTGTTGGCTTTGGTTTGCTGTCAGTTGTATTGTGATGAAATCTTTTATTAGGCAGAATCCTCTTTGCTGAAGAATTTTGCTGAAGAACTTAGGAATCCTCTTTGCTGAAGACATTGCAAAATTATAGAATCTATCCTGAGTTACTTTTTCCTTCATCACTCATCATGACAAACTTACTTGTAAGGCAATGAGCCTACTATGAAATCCTTGACTTCATGTATACTTCAAGGATAGACTTTGGGGCCAGAATTACAGATTTTGATATGACAAGTGGCTAAGTCAAAGATCATTGTGCTAAAGGGCAAAGTACTAGCAATGCCTGAGGGACAGCTGGCTCTGATCACTGTCATTTTCCCTTCCGGGCATTAAAAAAGCCTAGAAGTGGCACACAGTGGAGTGCAAGAGAGGTTGGTGCTTATTTCAAATTTTCAGTTCACACCAATCAGATAAGGGAATGTATGCATGTTTTTTTAAAAAAAAAAAGAGTTAAAGAACTTATGTTGATCCACGAATTAGTTAATCCAGTTTTTTGGTGGAAATTTTGAGACATATACAGAAGTATATGTAGACAGTATGAGTTTGAGCAAAACAATTCTTAAATTCTGTCTTAAATTCTTATTACAGGGTGAGGCAACATAACTTCCTTTTTCAAAACTTAATAAAACCCATTGTATGAATCAGATTTTTTTTAAAAAAAATATAATGTAGCCACATATCTAAAGTTTTGTTTTACATAGTTTTGAAGATCAAATTAGTTAGGTGACGCCCCCCATTCTCCATTCACTGAGTAAACAAATTTCTGGTGTTTGTCATGACTCTTGCCAGCATAGCAGGCGTTATGTTGGCAATTTCTTCCTGGATGTTGGTTTTCAAATCTTGTAGGGTCCTTGGACGGTTCACATAAACACGGGATTTCAAAAAACCCCATAGAAAAAAAATCACAAGGGGCCAAATCTGGAGAGCGGGCCGGCCACTCCAAATCTGCTCGAAAAGTAGGCCTCAATGGCAAAAGCACGCTCCTCACTGTTCCAACGCATGTTGACGACTGAACTGTGTCAGGACAAAACTTTATACTCCTGCCTCTCAAACGAGACCACTAGCTCTCTGCTACGTCTTCAACCGACTGAATGGAGCACATTTTAAAAAAGAAAGTTATGCTGCCTCATTCTGTATTAAGGGGGAAGCCAGAGTGCACTTTGCTCTGTCCTCTTACAAGGCTTAGGTTAGTAACAACAGATGTTGACTACTTATATGTAATAATCTCTGTACATGAACAGTGACTGTAAGGAAGGTAAGATCTTGGTAATTTAGATTATAGATTAGCATCACTAATTGGCTGTTTGAATTTATTGTGTTCTAGTTGATCAGTCCTTTTGCCACTTAACTGCTGTGATCCATTATGTTACGAGAATGACATATGCCAGTCTGTTAGGATTATAAATTTGAAAGGGCAGTAGCAACTTCTCTACAGCCCTACCTCTTGCAAGACCCGCTCTGCTTTGGAAAGTGAATATAGAACCCACTGCTTACCAAGCAAGGAGGTGGCTGTTCTACCCTTATGAAAGGGAAATCTTGCCCCAATAATGGCTAGGATCTCTCCATCTTGTGTAATTAGTCTAATTTATACTGATAATCACGCAGAAGATGAAGAGCTCTAGAGCAGTGCTTCCCAATGTTTTTTTGACCAGGGACCACTCTCCAACATTAGTATCAAAAGGGTTACAAATCAGATTTTGGACAATTTTAGATTTAGTTCGATAATTTGGGGTGCTGATTAAAAAAAACTGCATTGGATAGACCACATCAGTTCTAGTTTCTGATACAGAACATATGCCATCCTGTCGTCACCATCTGCTCACCCACAGAAAACCATATTTAATAATCTAGAGCTGTTGTGTTCTATCCAATGCAATTTTCTGAATCAGCATCCCAAATAACCCTGGGAACAGGCCTAAAAACAAAGACACCAAGGTTCCCCGCTTGCAGGCACCACATGGAATGGCTCCGCTCAGGGAGAGGGAGGGGGAAGAGAAGCAGCAGTCAGGAGGCTTGTTGTTGCGCCTTTTGTGGGTAGTCAGCTTCTCCCCTCCCAACAACAACAACAACAACAAAACTATTTATATACCACTCTATCTCCCCAAGGGGACTCAGAGCAGTTTCCAAGTAACATAATCAGTACATACAAAGAAACAGCATAAACATAAAATCAACAAGACAATATAAGCATTAAAAACCACAGTAGCACTGTCAGAGGGTTTTGCAAGAACAGTCGCTCTCGTTGCAACAGTGAGGCTGCGGATCATATGTTAAGTTCTTGTGGACCATTGGTGGTACACAGACCACAGGTTGGGAACCACTGCTCTAGAGGGAATTGAGTTGGTCCACACCTACTAGAAATTCCTTCACTACCCATCTTCCTATCTGACATTATTCACTGTGTTGTACTCCACCTCAAGCCATGAGGAAAGATGGGTAACAAATAAAATTTATTAATAATACTAATATGTATACTGCCTTTCTCCCAACATGGGGCCTATGATGGATCTGGAGAGCCTGTGCCTCTACCTGCCAAATGCCGAAGCAAACTCCAAGTCATGCCTTACCATTGGGCAGTTTAGCTGAGGTCAATGGGAAACGACTGTGCTTCTTCAACATTTACTCCCACATGCATTTTTCACAAGAGATGACTTGCAGAGAACCTCCAAACCAGTTCTAAATAAAACTCAGCTTCAAGAATAGTTTTGAAGTACTGTAAAGATCCATTTAAAAGGAAATTGCTATCAGAGCATTTTTATTTCTAGCCAAGTGGCCCTTTAGACAAGACTGTAAACTGCATAGTGAGAATACTTTGGCTACTGCTTTTTAAAACATCAGTGAATGTTTGCATGTGTCTGCACCACTACATAGATCTAAAATGAACTGGCTTTATTTAGATAGATGCACAGAGAGTACTTGGTTTTCTTTACTAATTATAAGAGATTTTCAAATAAAATGATTTTGTCCATTCTTGTGGGTATAGCAACAAGACTGCAGGGTTAAAAATGGGCAATATTCTGTAGTATGTAAGCCTGAACTTTCATAATCATTTATCTAAATCCCAGTTAGCCTTGACTAGAATGCATCCATTGAATCTATGGGAACTTACTAAGAGCCGGCATGCAGAGAGGTTTCATCACTGATTCAATAGATCTACTCTGTTGGAGGCTAAACATTGGACATTTAGTGATCAAAATGGGACTTCCACCTATCCCTTGCAATAAGCCTGTGCCACATATGAAGTACTGATCATGGAGTCATCCATTACTTAGGATCAATATCCTCTATATAGACACCCAAATTAAATTGTTGTTTGCAGCTTTTAAATACTTTTTGTGATTATACTACACCTTGAGCATTATAGTGAGCATTTAAGAATAAAATACCCATACAAATGTGTCTGGTTGCTCCTGACACGATAAATAAAATAAAATCCTTACAACAGCCTTACAACACAAGTAGAAGTAACTCAAAAAGCTTTCCTTCAGCACAATAATGATAAAATGCAACCAGCAATAAAGGAAACAGAAGGTAAATTCCAAAAGCAATGCAAGGTCTTACAGCAGACATGAAACAAAAGTCTTTGGCAACAAGACTTCACAGCAGACAGGAGCAATGGTCTTTGGAAAAAGGCTTACAGTAATAATAAAAATAATAAACTTTATTTATACCCCGCTACCATCTCCCAAGGGACTCGGTGCGGCTTACATGAGGCCGAGCCCACAATACATCAATACAAGCAATAACAATTACAATACAAAGCAAAATACAAATACTAATACGAAGCAATTACAGTATACAGGAATGAGTCCTTGGCAAGAAGTCTGGTGCAAAGCCAACGTTGGAGTTTTAGCATAAAGACTAGAACACAAACACACCAAGTAGGTCAGTTGCTGCCAGTGCTGACTTCTGGCTTCACTGCTAACTTATCACCCTGAGCTCCCAGCACAGATGTTCCTAGGGCGAGGTCTGATTGTTCAGCATTTTTACTGTGACTCTTCTTTCTTCTTTTGCCCTTCACCATTCTTGAAATGTAGGGACTTGTAGTATGTCTTTCTCAACTTCTTCTTCTTCAGCACTTGTCTCCAAATCCCCAAGTGTTACCTCTTCAGCCTCCTGTTCTACCACCTCCTCAGAAGCAGAAGAATAGTTGACAACACACGTCCCCCTTCAACCTTCTCTTCTCAAAGCTAAGCATACCCAGCTTCGTAAGCTGCTTCTCACAGGGATCCATGGTTCCCAGACTTTTGGTCTTTTTGGTAACCCTTCTCTAGTCACTTTCTAACGACCTAAATTGCATAAGAGCCCCTGGTGGCGCAGTGGGTTAAACCCCTGTGCTGGCAGGACTGAAGACCACCAGGTCGCAGGTTCGAATCTGGGGAGAGGCGGATGAGCTCCCTTTATTAGCTCCAGCTCTTCATGCGGGGACATGAGAGAAGCCTCCAACAAGGATGATAAAAACATCAAAATCATCCAGGCATTTCCTGGGCAACGTCCTTGCAGACGGCCAATTCTCTCACACCAGAAGTGACTTGCAGTTTCTCAGGTCACTCCTGACATGACAAAAATCCTTTTAAGTCATTACTTAAATGGTAAATTATTATAAATCACTGTAATGGGATTGCCAAAGATGGAACTGCTATTCTAATCCCCTCTGAAAAAAAGATGTATGAAACGTGGAACAGATCACCCTTTGAGATAACATGGAAAAAGCAGAGCTTTTCTTTCTCCACGCTAAATCATGCCACCACCACATTCAGCAATGTCACCAATGTCATTTCTACAACTGAGTTGGTCATCAAATACTACCCACACTTATTTTTGAAAACATTTTTGAAAATATTTTATTGATCCTTAAAGGAGGAATATTTATTCCATATTGGAATAATAAACAGAGCTATATTTCCATATTGAACAATACTGGATCATCATCAGTTTGCCTGAATACACAGTTATAATGAGATCGGTAAAGTTTATCTAGCCAAAGTCGCAAACTATTAAAATTCTGGGCTTTCTTTTCCACAGCAGTCTACTTATTTGCACAAAATCAACACACTTAGACAGCTCTGGCATTTAGTGTCTTTCCTTGTTCATGATACGGACAGAATAAAAGTCATACCGACTGTTTGTACCTCAGCTATTCTGCTCAGAAAGCATACTGCTGAAATTCAAGCAAGGGGAAAAAACGGTGTGTGTATGCTTTAATAGAGAGAAACGACATATTAAGAATGTTTAAGAAATATTTCAGTAGCATGACAGGACAGCGAGTTGGGCTCAAGTTAGATCATCTGTGCAGTTGTGCTTTGGGAGGGAGGAGGGGAGCGGGGCGCCACATGCAAAGTGTAAGTAAATAGTGCATCAAGTCTAATATTAATGTTAATGTCATTTCTTAACAAAACACTAGTGCATTTAAACTAATTCTACTTAAACTTAAAATGTCTGCTTTAGACAAGAGAGATAAGTGTAAGTAGAATAAAACAGTATCAAAAGGAACAGTGCTGCACTGGGAAGGAAACAAATACATTTACTTCTTTAAAAATTATTGTATAAATTAACTTGCTAATATTACATAAAAGCTGCATCACATAATATTAAAATACTGAGAACACGAATGAATCCAAATGGAAGGTCACTTCTGTTCAGCAGTTGAAGCATCAGCTCCGTCATTCTGATTTTGCATTCTGGTTCGAGTAGATGCTACAAAAAAAAATGAAATTTCTTTTAAAATGGGGGGTGGGGGAGGATGGTCTAAATTATAGTAAGGGAAAACCTTTATTTTTCAAATGCCAAAGAGAAACAAGGAGCTGATCCTCCGTTCGTTTTAAGAAACTGGTGCTTTTCACAGACAAAGGCATGTGAATAAGATCACAGAGTGAAAAATGAGAGCCTTTAAGGATGGCACTGGAATCTTGGAACAAAAAGTCTGGGATCTCAACAGTTATTGAAACTTACATGCCTTACATACTACATTAAGCAGTTAAGACAGTACACAAATTAAAAATGGCAAAGTCGTAATGATATCCCATTACATAACAAAGGTCTTTTTTTCTGAAAGCCTTTCTATTTGAATATCATAAAGTCACCCAGTGACTGTGTGCTGGCACGGCAGTGCCAGGAGATTTAAATTTCTTTTTCTTGATCTGCTAGTTTGTATGAATTTATTTAAGCCATGCTTTTTGCATTCAGGTAGCTTCCCCAAGTTGCAGTCATAGGGCCAGCAACCTGGCAATCATTGTTAGAGTCTTTAGACCCGCCCTTTTCCCAGGGTTTTGGAGGCAAGGGAGGATTTTTGTTCAGTCTCACTGTTTGAAGCCTAACAGCAGGATGTGTGGGTTTCTCTATCCCACCTGCACAAAGGCTTCACTACTCACAGCTCTGTTGGGGGAGTAAAGGGACAGTCCCACAGCTTTTGCTGGGGGAATACAGCCAGCCTTTGCTGGGGCAACAGGACAGTTCCTACAGCCTTCGTGGCGTAAAACTAAAGGACACCTTTTGGCTTGGCAGATCTACAGCAACCTTGTCTGCTAAGGGACCACTCGGGCTATCCATAAAGTAGCTTGGAGCCGGGAGTAGGGGCCTCACACCAGCAAGGTAAAGAAAGATTGCCCAGGGAGGGGTCAGAAGATTTCCCTAAGGAAGAAAGGAACAGTTTACCACCAGTTGCCTGCCCTTGATAGCAAATTGAGGAAGCTACCGGTTTTCCAAGGTTATAAAGCATTTAATTCATTTGTTTGAAGATTTAAGCCCAAATAAAGAACTTTGTTGAACTTATTTTGAGCCTCAATAGAACTTTGTGTTGGGAAATCTAAGGGGCCCTTCAGCTGAGGCACCCCGGCGTCCCGTTGGGCATAAAGAAGACATGTCCTGTAAACAGACAGGCCCAATGTGCGACAGCACAGACTGGCATCTTCTTAGTGAGCAACGAAGGCATGAAGCCAAGCTGCATAATTTTACTTCAGGTTTTTTTGTAAGGGAGTGAGGTAGCCAATCAAGATTTTGCGCTGAGAGTGCAACAACCAAGCTCATCAATCCACAGTCTCTACTGCAGAGCACCCTTTCTGTCCAGCTATTTTTCTACAGATGCAGAAGCAGCAAATAGGGTTTTCCAGAGGCCCCTGAGAATAACAGCCAGATATTTATCTGCTTTTCCTTCTCTGAACTGGATAGACAATGGCCATGCTCTTTTTTTTTTTTTTGGGGGGGGGGGGGTCAGCTTATGTGGACACCTTCCAATCCAAGAGCTCATCTTATATTGAATTTTCGAATTGTTTACAATGTTGAATATTGACTGGGAATTGAGAGAAGCCTCCCACAAGGATGATAAAAACATCAAATCATCCGGGTGTCCCCTGGGCAACATCCTTGCAGACGGCCAATTCTCTCACACCAGAAGCGACTTGCAGTTTCTCAAGTCGCTCCTGACACGACAAAAAAAATTGACTGGGGTCTAAAAAGAAATTTTTAAACACCAAATGGTACATTATTTAAAAATAAACATTTCCCCTGAAAACTACCTTTACCACCAGCTGCTTTTTAAAATCTCTTCAGAGATTCAGAACACATGTCCAGGTGAATCTTGGGCCAATCTTCAAGCAATTTGCTGGACAGATGCTTTCACTACTGAACAGGGAATATTTTGCACAAGTACTTACTCATTTCTGCCAACTTCTGTTGGAATTTAGACTCTCCAGAGACATGATCCCTATAGATGACAGGAAAGAAAAGTAATTGCAGTTACAAACATCCAACTTACAAACGACTCATAAATAAGGATGGGGGTGAGACAATGGAAACTGACAGAAATCTACCCCTCAGAAGGGAAATTCACTCTTGGAAGAGTTATGGTGAAAAGATGTTTCCTCAACAAGCCAAATTTATCAAAATCCAATTATTGCAGGTACAGAAAGTGACGTTAAATCTTCTGACCGGGGCACAAACAGCAAAACAAACACTACAGGGATGTTAACCCTTCCCTATGCCTGTACTAAACTATATAAAACTGATGCAAACCTGGGTTGCACATGACTTGTAGCTCAGGACAGCAAATGTGTATTTCCATTTGTGAGCATAGATACCATCTCTGTAAGGCAGTGCAGTTCAGAATTGCACTGGGTTAGTCTCCTTTGGATGTGTATCTGCAGATATGGAAGATGACTTTTTAATTAATGCATCCTTTGGAGGGTCAGAGCTGTGTGCATTACATTTTCCATACGAATGTAATTAGATTACTTAATTTAAGCTTTTAAGTTTGACATGGTGCTTCATTGTGTTTTACGAGGGCCCAAATCCTTTGTTAGTTTTACAAAGATAATGACATTTTATATTAATGCAAAAAGAACCTTGATGTACCCCAGACTCTGCAAACCAACACATTTCAAGTAGCTGTGCAACAGTGTTAAGCGTAAACCCAGTAAACTAATTCCTCAAAACTTGCTTTCTCTAGTTGCACACCCATGTAGGCTCTCCTTAATTAAAGGTGTGATTCATTAGTAATTAAATACAAATTTTAACAAAGGAAATGACCAGAGAATACAAAATATTCATCAGACATTAACTATGTTCATTATGATTATAAAGTAGTTGCAGTTTACACAATTGGATTAATACACACACAAACACACAACTCTTCTACATTGCCTTTTGAGAATATACTCAATTTCATCTACAGCACTGGTTACCAACTTTTTTTTTTAACCAAGGACCACTCCCCAACATTAGTACCAAAAAGGTTACAAATCAGTTTTTGGTCAACTTTAGATTCAGTTTTATTATTTGGGGTGCTGATTCAGAAAATTGCACTGGATAGACCACATCAGCTCTAGTTTCTGATACAGAACATATACCATCCAGTCACCGCCATCTGCTTGCCCACAGAAAATCATCTATGTATATATATAATAAAAGTCAGTGTTTGTATGCGGAGGTGTATGTGGCAGTGTTCTGATTGGCTGCCACTGTGGTACAATTTGCATATGGTCTCTGATTGGCCACCAGAACATTCCGAGGTAGCAGAGGGAAAAGGAAACAGGCCTGAGGCTGGCAGGAATGGTTGAAGTCCAAAACACCTTGTGGCCCCCAACAATGACAGAACAAGACCAAACCTGGCACACAGACACCCCCCCCCCCCAAGACCCACTCAACATCCTGGTGCAGTTTGAGGGAGGATGGACCATGGATGATGGGACTTGCAGTACTTTAACTCACTTCCTTAGAGCACTGTGGCCCACACCAAGGACGGATCAGGACCAAACTTGGCACACAGAGGCCCAATGGCCCACTTTACAATCTGGTGCGGTTTAGGGCAGGATGGGCCAAGAATGATGGGATTTGCAGCACTTTCACCCAATTCACTTCCCACAGAACATTGTAGCCCCTACAAATCACAGACCAGGTCCAAACTCGGCACACAGAGTACTCATGACCCACTCTACATCCTGATGCAGTTCTAAGGGGATGGACCATGGATGATGGGACTTGCAGTACCTTTACTCACTTACTGAAACCACTGCGACCCTCATCCAATGACTGATCAAGACCAAATTGGCACAAAGAGCCCCCATGACCCACTCTACATCCTGCTGCAGTTTGGAGGAGGGTGGACCATGGATGATGGGACTTCAAGTACCTTCACTCACTCCCTGAAAACAATGCAACCATCATCCAATGACCAATAAAGACCAAACTTGACATACAGAACCTCCATTACCCACTTTCTCTAATAACCCGGGCAGCGCCGGGTCCCCAAGCTAGTATTTAATAATCTAGAGCTGATGTGTTCTATCCAATGCAACCTAAATAACCCCAGGAACAGGCCTAAAAACAAAGATACCAAAGTTCCCTGCTCCCAGGCACCACATGGAATGGCCCCGCTCAGGGGGAGGGAGGAGGAGAAGCAGCAGTCAGGAGGCTTGTTGTTGCATCTTTTGTGGGTAGTCAGCCTCCCCCCTCCCAACATCCCCATTGCCTTAGCACTATAAGAGGATTTTGCGAGACCAGTTGCTCTCATTGCAACAGTATAGTAACAGTGAGGCCGTGGACCATAATTTAGATCTTGTGGACCACTGGTGGTCCACGGACGACAAGTTGGGAACCACAAATCTATAGGCTGCTGTATAGTGAAACTCTAACATGCTAACGAGAGGGGAGAACCCATATGTAGTTCATATGTAGAGAACCATATGTAGTTCATGAAATATCCCATGAGATTTTCTGGTATTACAGAAAATTCAACAACTACTTTTTAAAATTTAGACAGTAGAAAATATCTATGCAGAAATCAATATATTACATTGCCCCTTTAAAAAAAAGATAGCCAGAAGAGGACCAGAGATGACAAGGTAAACCTGCAGGCAAAAAGAACTGGTTTAAAATAAAACTCACCTCCCATCAGCTTCATCCTGTCCTTCTATATCAAAGCGCAGCCTTTTCAAAGGTTTGGGAGCTGTGCTTCCTTCAGCACCATGTTTAAGAGGACGATCACTGTTACACACCATCTGGTTTATCTTCTGCAGCTTTTCTGACGTCTAGAAAGACCCAGCACGAGAGGAACAGTTAAATTTAATCTTTTATCTTTTTAAAAAATGGTGCATTAGGAATAGTTGTTTCAAAATATTCTTGTTATGCCTTTGAATAATCTTTATTACCATGACTACACATATGAGCAATTTCATGTAGCTGTCTTTAGAAAAAACAAAAAGGGCCCTGTGTCAAAACTTTTATACTGGATTCTACTCCTCTACTTATGGGCTTTGTTCAGGGTTCTGTTTATCCAGAGTCCCAGTCCGCTTCTGGAGAAGAGAGAAAATTGATGTCTTTTTCTCTGTTCCCCCAAGAAAAGCTTTCCTTTGCTGTGTTGCCTAGTGCTAGGTGCTTCAGGTTTCAGAGGAGGACATCACTGCCAATTCCAAAAATGACTACCATATATTCCAGCATATAAGAAAACTGGCCGTATAAGACAACCCCCAACTTTTCCAGTTAAAATATAGTGTTTGGGATATACTCGCCGTATAAGACTACCCCTCTTCCAAAACACACCAAATAAAATTTTTAAAAGCATCAGATTTTATTTCAATATGGTAATTTTCCTATTACTGTACCTCCTTCTCTGCCTCTCAGATCTCGCACCTGCACCGCTTCACTGCAGTCTTCAGGAGCAAGAACTGAGAGGCAGAGGAGGAGGTATGGTAATAGGATACAAGGGCGGGCCAGACAGGCAAAAGAGGTGTGTTATTCTGGGCCCAGAGCCACAATATCTCTTTTTTCCATACCCCAGGCCCTTCACTTACACTTTCCCAGTGAGGCATCCCTTCACCTCACCATTGGGACCGCATTAAGTCCACGAATCCTGATGAATTGATTTTTTTCTACTGTACTTGTACAGCGTCGCCCTTAATGCTTTTATACAGTTGCTGCATACAGCAAGGACACGGTCACTGGACATGGATTTATTAACATACTATCTTAAAGACCCAGAGGGCAAGCCAATAAACCCAATAGACTGGACCCTCTTCAAAAATTACATGGAATCACAACGAAACCCACGAAGACTTGCTACCCCCGAGTGAGTACAAGTGACAGAAATGAAAACAAGAAATCAGAGACTTGGAAAGTCCAAAAAAGAAGTGACCAATATTAAACAAAAATGCAGCACCAGAGTGATGACCAAGACTACCCAGGGAAGATAAAGGCGGAAGTCAACAAAAAGAAACAGTTTCTAAATTATTTTTTCAACTGTCATATATCTGTCCCTTTTATGCCTTTTTTCTCTCCCACTGCTTCCCCCCCTTGCTTCTCATCCTTTCCCCCCCTTTTTTCCCCTCGCCATCCCCCTGCTTCTTCACTGCCCCCTATTCTTGACGCTCGAATGCGTCCATCCCCTACCCCCAAGCCTACCCTTGCCTACCCCCACACCTATCCACTATCTTCCCTTTCCTCTTTCTAAGAATTCTAGTGTTTTTAAATGTTTGTAAACAAAACTACAATAAACATATTTTTAAAAAAAGAAGTACTAAGATCACAACATGAAGGGGTGGGATCTGTTTTCTAGAAGTCAGTCAGGTCATATATCTTGTTAACAGGGTGGAGCCATAGCCAATAGAAGGTATGTCATTCCTCCTTTCCCTCCTTCCACAATCTCTTTTTCTTTCCCCTCTTTCCAGGCAGTGTCAACAGGTGTGCTAGCCAAGTTGTGGTGTCTTTTGAAAGCACAGTTCCAACTAGATCAAGTATTGTCGAAAGCTTTCATGGCTAGAATCACTGGGTTGTTGTAGGTTTTTTCGGGCTATATGGCCATGTTCTAGAGGCATTCTCTCCTGACGTTTCACCTGCATCTATGGCAAGCATCCTCAGAGGTACCTCACTGCCTCTGAGGATGCTTGCCATAGATGCAGGTGAAATGTCAGGAGAGAATGCCTCTAGAACATGGCCATACAGCCCGAAAAAACCTACAACAACCCAGATCAAGTATTGCTTGTTCCCAGACAGCCTTGTCTTCTCCAAAGAAAGGCCCTTCTACATTGCCATATAAAATCCAGATTATTTGCTTTGAACTGGATTATATGGCAGTGCAGACTAATATAATAATAATAATCATCATCATCATCATCATCATTTCATAACTTATTAATCGCCCTCCATCCGAGAATGCTCCAGGCGATTTACAGCTAAATGACAAAAGATAAAATACATACATACAAAAATTAAAAATCAACAGAGATCGAATGCTCTAGTAAAAAGACAGGTCTTAAGTGCGAGAGTAAAAGGCCCTAAGTCACGCATGGCTCTCATGTAGGGCGGCAAGGAATTCCACAAGGCAGGGGCAGAAATAGAAAAAGCCCTGCGTCTGGTCCTTTCCCAGTGCACTTCTCTAGGACCCGGTATATGGAGTATCTGCTTTGATAATCTGGATTATACGGCAGTGCAGAAGGAGCCTATCTGACACTGTCACCTCAGTTCACTCGAAATCAAGTTCGCCTTGCAGTTGGAAAAGGAGATTGCAAAGGAAAAGGCAGTTCACAGATTCCCAGAGCTTATTCTTCTTTGATACTGATACCAGAGCATCTTCCCATCTTAAAAAAATTGACAAGAATCTGAAATGCATAGCCTGGCATTAATACTATACTTATTTCAGCCAAATTATTCAGAACAAAACTCACCCCAAAGGATTCACCAATTGAAACCAATATTCTGTACAAGCAAAAACAAAAAGGCAATTTAGTATATTCCAGATGTGAAACATAACCATTTTTGTAACCCCAAAGTCTCAATGACTACAATATTATTCATACAACCAACTTGTATTCTTTAATCTTTTGAAAATGCCAACATGTCTGCTGTCAAAGGACAGATGAAAGCCTATTACGTTAACATCTATATAAATCAGTTGGAGGGAAGCAGAGGGAAACTACCCCAGATGCAGCTCCTCCAGGTAATGTTTTTGGCTCCCTGATGTTTCCTAAATGAAATCTAGAGACAGGCTTCTTCCAGCCAGACAGGTATTTTATGGGGCAGAGTGAGTCATAGTGACCATACATGAAGGAAAAACTGAAAGATAAACTGTACATCTGATCCAGTGGATGTCATTTCGTCAACAGAATGGGGTGGGGAATGATTCCCGTTACACTAGTATAGAGCTTTCCAGACATTTCATGTTGGTGACACACTTTTTAAATATACCTCATTTTCTCACATTCAGTTTTACTAGCAAAGCAGAGGTTAAACCAGGCATGGGAAACTTTGGTCCTCCAGGTGTTTGGAACTTCAACTCCCACAATTCCTACCTTTATAAGAGATAGGGAGACACATACCTCATGAAAACCTTTCGTTTATATATTTATTAAATATATGATTTAGTGCTTATTTTACAGACTTTGAGGTTTCTTCTTAAGTTTACAAGACACAGCTACACATTACAGCTGACATGCGAACGTGTTGTGACAAACAGTTTGAAAAGCTCCGCAGTTTGAAAAAAACCTGCATACTATTGGGTTTAAATCTAAATTAGTGTCCATTAGTCATTCTTTTCTTCTGTAGCCTAGTCAGCGCTTTAAAAAAAAACAACACAGTGGTCCCTCGCTACTTCACGGTTTGCTTTTTGTGGACTCTCTGTTTCGCGTTTTTTCAATAAATATTATGTAAAATATTTATTGCGGTAAAATACCCGATGTTTTGCGGATTTTTTCAGTACTCTGTAAAACAACAATCTTGTGTATCGACTGGCTTTCCCACCAAATCAGGCAAATTCACTGCCAGCAAGGGCTGATTTGATAAATTTCAGAAGCGCTATGGACTTAAGAGCGTTTGTCTGTATGGAGAGGCTCCGTCTGCGGATAAAGCCGGAGCCAAGGATTACGTGAACAACACATTCAAGGAAGGTTATGTAGTATAAATATGTGGGAAGGGGTTATAAAGACTTAAAATAGTGTATAACTATTAAAATAATGTATAAATATTAAAATAAATATAATAATAAATATAATAATAATAATAATAATAATAATAATAATAATAATAATAATCTTTATTTGTACCCCGCCACCATCTCCCCAATGGGGACTCAGAGCGGCTTACATGGGGCCAAGCCCGAACAACAATTACAATAAAGAATGACCGAACGCAAACCGAAAACGCAAACAATAAACAACATCATAATTACATTAAACATATGAATATACAACATATAAAATTATATATAGCATCCCTACTTCGCGGATTTTCACTTTTCGCGGGTGGTCCTGGAACACTCGTGATAAGTGAGGGAACACTGTATTAGTTAAACTGGATCCTTGTGTTTCAATCAATTATTTGGTTAAAGAAAGAGATCACCAACCTTGTTCTTGGCGTCATTTTGGTGGGTGACAGCAATCCTTCAGAAAATTTATAGGAGCTCTTCAAAGGTGAGATATATATATTGTTTCCCGCAGAAACCCGTAAAGGAGAATTAGATAACTTGTAAGGGCTCTTAGGAATGTGTGGTATGGGCGATAATGTTGGCGGCTGTGAAGGGACAATTAAAAATCAGTGCTATGCAGTTCTGTGAACTTCAGTTAAACTGTGCCAGAAGAAAGGACAGAAGCATCACTACTTACCCTACTGGAAGCATATTGCAAAATATTGGTTTTCAGTCTTTGCATGAACACCAAATTGTAAAAGACTATAATGGAATCATACTGTCCTTCCCTAATCAAAACACACTTGAAAGTCTAGAGAGAATCAGAAAGTTCTCCATTAGTCATTTTGAATATGCTGATCTGGGTAGTGATTGTTATGCTGGTAGATTAGTTTCCAAGATAATAATAATAATAATAATAATAATAATAATAATAATAATACACTTTATTTATAACCCGCTACCATCTCCCCAAAGGTGACTTGGCTAACATGAGGCCAAGCCCAAAATAATACAACATAATAAACACACAGTAACAAAATACATCATAACAAAATATAAAATAACAAAATCAACAATATAAAACAGCATATTGAAACCAGACACGGAGGGCGGGCCAAATGTGTGAGGTAAAATGTTAAAAAAGTTAAAACCCTGGGTGAGATAGGGATAAAAGTGCATTTGTAGGAAAGGAAGCCCAATAGGGAGGAACCATGGGATTTAGCCATTTTAGGGGGGGGGGGGGAGATGCTTTATTCTGAGGGCAGCTGTAGACTAAGACAACCAGATGGGTTGAATGGTCATTCTCCAAAAGCACAATGGAAGAGCCAGGTTTTTAGGTCTTTCTTAAAACCAGCTAGGGTGGAGGCTTGCCTGATCTCCTTAGGCAGCGAATTCCAAAAGCGGGGGGCCACAGTGGAAAAGGCCCTCTCCCTTGTTCCCATACGATGAGTCTGCGATAGAGGAAGGGGCGAGAGACTCAGGCCATTCAGGACAATTTTATACCTCCCTGCTACTTGCAGATACTAATTCAGCTACAACCTACAATGTTGCAAAGTTCTGTGCAGCAGCATACAAAATCCGTCAGGGAATGACTAGTCCCAAAAGTTAACTGTGTGTCCAGTAATCTTCTTCCCTGAATCTACAATTTGGTGATGGATCTGGGCATTGTATGTTTTTACCCTGTTTCCCCTTCCGCTCCCTCACCCAAATTGTGCTTCAGTAGTTATATTTATATTTTTAATGTACCAAACATACCAAGTTTGTATGAAAATGTGACTCTATTTCCTGTGCTGATCAATGACCAAAATAAATGATTTTGAACCTAATTCAGCAACAATGGACCAAGAAAGCCTCTAAAAAGGAGCACAAATGTCACCAGGCCAACTGTACAAACATACTACAAAGGTATTGCCACATTCTGTAGCCACACGTAATATTTTAGACAGCAATGCAGAATACACAAAAGGTTTGTTTCCAAAGACTGCCCATCAGAGAAACTTTTCCTTTGAATATAATATAATATAATATAATATAATATAATATAATATAATATAATATAATATAATATAATATAATATAATATAATATAATATAATATAATATAATATAATATAATATAATATGAGAGCTGTTACTCCGGCTGGGCCGAAATCTGAAATTATAAAGCATACAGAGACATGCTTGGAAAGAAAGCCAATGGCTGGAGGGATTTCTTGACGCCTGCACAGAGATTAGTAAAAGGACATCATGTCTGCACTAGTCTCAGGGAGTTGGAAAGGAGTGTCACCAGGAACGATGATGGATTTGGAATAATACATTTTTAAAGGATGGATTTAAAACCAATTTTGCATATTGGAATAATGCAAGGCCTTCCTTGCATTATTCCGGTCTGAGTCTCTCTACGGAGGTTGAGAAGATTGGGATATAAAAGTTCTAAATAAATAAATAAACAAACAAACAAATAAATAATTTAAGTAACTGGGCAACCCTTTTCTGATTACTGTGTTCAAATGCTATAGGCAAAAAGCAACATAATGTGGGGAATAGAAGTAATTATTTCATGCCTATATTTCTCTTGCTGCGAAGGTACAATGGAAGTTTAATGCTTTTCGTCGTGTCTGCTGTTGTGGGGTAGAAATATCTTTCTTTTGGGGAGATGCATCAGCTGGTGAAGCCACATCTGGCTGGCCAAGTGAAATTCCATTCTATCCCTTCATTAGCTTGTCCAGACAATTTTAATTTAAACAGTCAGAAAAATAAGAGTTTCCATACCTCTTGATTAGCATTAGTGAGTTCTTTGTACGCCTTCACAATTGTTTTAAACCTGAGATCAATGTTCTTCACCTTGCATATGCCATACATGGAACACATCATAATCTGTCAAAAGGTAGAGGGAGGCCATCAGAACTGATAGTCAAAAATGAACCCAGCTTTCTATTATTCCTTCTCTGAGGTGACAACTGAGCAACTAGTCACAGAATAAGACTACCTTCCCATCCTGTCCCTTCAATCCCTACAACCCCACTTCAGGAAAGAAAGAAAAAAAAAACCAAACAAACCATCAAAATTTGCCTTGTATGGCTGAAGATTTAAATGTATATTGCAGAAATGGTGCCTTTAACCATTATTATTATTATTATTATTATTATTATTATTATTATTATTATTATTGAATAGTGGGCATGGAAAGTGCGTGGAACACATTTCAATAAGACATCCAACTCTATCAATCCTTCCCAGCGACATGAGTAGGATAGAGAGAAGGAACTTTTCTCTGGCATCTCCAATGTAATATTTAAGGCAGAGCAATTCTATCTAGTACCAGCAAAATATGTGGAATTAGCCCACTACCATCTGGCTACTGATGGTTACTCCTTGTTTGTCCTTCATCCAGCTCATCACCAGTTCTGAACAAATTTCTTTCTTCACGTTCTGATATGACATAGAAACAATACCTCCATCACCTCTAAGTGATCTAACCCAGCACCTTCTAACAGATCTAGGCTGGGCAAAGTGCAGTCCGCTAGAGGTAGTTTCCTCACCATTGGCTGTATGAGGGCAGATGAGAATTACAGTCCAACAACACCTGAAGGACTGTATTTCCTGCCCATCCCTGCCATATAGCAGGAAAGCTAAAAAGGGACCCAGGTAAAACACATAACAGAAATGTCTCAAAGGTGAAATACAGGATCTTGAGTTTCCCTTTTATACAACAGCGCAATTGCCACAAAACAGCCTTGACTACAGACAGGGAAACGGAAGGATATCCTGTCTCTTCTTCTTCAAACCAACAGGATAAATCTGTGTAGCTTTAGGGATAACCCTACATTGAAATGGGACAGATTTTCTTCAACAGTGTCTTGTGTTGTGCTGCCACTATCTCCTTAAGTATTTCACCCAGAAAGTGGGAAATTTGGACCCTGAATGTAATTTACAGGTTGCACATCACTATCCAAAATACTTGAGACCAAAAGTGTTTTGAATTTTGGATTTTTTTTTCATTTTGGAATACTTGTATTTAAATCTATGGAATACTTGTATTTACATTCATCTATGTTTCATATGACCCATATACCCTTAGTTTGAAGAGAATTTTATTCAATCTTTTATTAATTTTGTGCTTCAAACTCTCAGAAAACAACCGTCATAATCTCAACCACCCATGTGGACAATTTTGGATTTTTGAATTCTGGATAAGGGATAACCTATCTATATATATAAAAAATGCTCTCTGTGTAATGAGTACCTTAAAAACAAAAGAACCAATGAACGAAATCACACCAAATTTGGTAACAAAACATCTCACAACACAAGGAGTGGCCATCACTCAAAACATTATGATTTTGTCATTTGGGAGTTGTAGTTGCTGGGATTTATAGTTCACCTATAATCAAAAAGCATTCTGAACTCCACCAACGATGGAATTGAACCAAACTTGGCACACAGGACTTCCATAACCGACAGAAAACACTAGAAGGGTTTAGTGGGCATTGACCTTGAGTTTTGGAGTTGTAGTTCACCTACATCCAGAGAGAAATGTGGACTCAAACAATGATGGATCTGGACCAAACTTGGCATGAATACTCGATATGCCCAAATATGAATACAGATGGAGTTTGAGGAAAATATACCTTGACATTTCGGAATTGTAGTTACTGGGATTTATAGTTCACCTACAATCAAAGAGCATTCCGAACCCCACCAACGACAGAATTGGGCCAAACTTCCCACACAGAATCCCCATACTTAAGGCCATCCAATCCAACTCCCTTCATCAGGGCAAGAAAACGTAATCAAAGTACTCCTGACAAAGAGCCATCCAGCCTTAGATATAGGTAGATATATATGATTCACACACACACAGATATAGTATCATAGATTTGAAAGGGACCCCTAAAGAAGGACAATTATATGTTGCATGGTCCAGAGTAGGCAAACCAGATAATCTCCACATCAACACCGACAAATAAAAGCAAGAAATACTGTTTAACCACAAGCACAAAGAAATTGCATATATTAGAAACGAACACTTTCCAATTACTTTATTTACCAGATCACCAGACTGGGCCACAGCAACGCGTGGCAGGGGATGGCTAGTCTGTTATAATCACAGCAGTCAGATATTTAAGAAGACATATGACAATCTCATTTAAGATAACCGGGATCACATCCCCTTGTAGAAAATTTAGCAGGATCCCTGTAAAGCAGGCATGGGGAAAGTGCACCCTTTTGGTCACATTGTGGCAATCTTGAAATGCTCTGCCAAACCCTTATAATCCTCCCATTGGAGACAAGGTTTTCTTTGTAGTTAGATGTTATCAACAAGGCCTCGTTTTTCTAAGCAGATCCACAGTTGCAACAGACAACAACTAAATGCATCCCTAGTAACATCCTCCATCTGTACCATGCTCAACACAGCATCTAAATTGCAATAGATGCAAGCACTTTTATCAGTAAAGTGATATGTTTGATAATAATCACAGCAGACTGCTACTCTCTGATCTTTCAGGAAGTCCACATGCCATACCGTGTTCATAGTTTAAAAGGGAAACACTGTATTGACACAAAGGTAGAGCATTTAGAAGAAAACAGAATGATCTCTTACCAGTGCTCCATCAATAATGGCAGCCATGTCAACAAGAAATGCCATCCCAATCCAGATCAACACATCTTTGGGAATAGACTTCTATACTAGTTCACCACCACTTTTTCCATTGAAATAAACATTATTTATACAGAGCTGATATATTCCACAGTTCAGGGTGGGCAGAAGAGTGGCCATGATCTACTGGATACAGTTAGTCAATTTATACTGGGCCACCTGTGTAGTTCCTGCTGATTGCTGGGACGTTTTCAAGGGGGGGGGGGGCAACAAATGAAGTGCTTTAGAAATCCCAACAAAATCCAGCAAGACAATCCTGATATTCTTAAGAAAGAATAAATATTCATGGAATTCAAGATAGATCAGTTATGGATTAACTAGTTCAGAGATCATGAGGCTACACTCTCGTTCTGTAATACAACAACGTACTGGTGGACCACGGAGATTCTAGTTAAAAACAAAAAACAATCTAAGTTACATCCAACAGAGATCAGCCCACCCCTATCAAAGTTATTATTACCTGGTCTAAGTGCCTGTCTTTCATAAGTTCATATTCATTTTGCAAGGTATGGTGGAAAAGGGTCCATATCAAGTGTTTGAGTTCAGGGTGCTCAGAAAGAAGACGGGAACATAAATTGCTCAATCGTTTATAAGCCAACCAATACACTAGAGAAGAGAAAATGTTAGATATTAGAATCATCTTCAAATATTTGCTTAATGAAGATAAAATGTAGTAAGATTACAGGAAAGTAACAGATGTGTTGTGATTTTAAATACCACAAAGTCGGGATTCTGCTCCTAGGGTGTGAGCATTTTGGCAAGAGTACCTCATCTCCCAAGTGAGGGATGGTCACCTTGAAGAACAGCATTTGGGAGTAGGGGCAAAAAGACAGCCTTAATATGGAGCTGGTTTTTATATCTGTTGTTAATTCAGAAAATCTCAAATCATTGAATAGGTTACAAGTTAGAAAGGTACATTATAAATTTAGGGGAAAATAAAGCAGGGATGTTCCATACTGTTCTATCCATTGCAAGAGACAATGAATGTTCTTATTTTGCAGTGCTACAATTAAACATTACATATCAGGGTTGTTTTTAAATTGCAGTAAAAGTAGACCAAGAAGAGAGATCACGTGAGTGAGTGATGGCTTGAGTTTTTTTTTTTTTTTAGGACTCCAGTCGACCAGGGTTTTTGTGGTTGACGTGAGTGAGTGATGGCTTGAGTTTTTTTTTTTTTAGGACTCCAGTCGACCAGGGTTTTTGTGGTTGACATTGGGCAAGTCTTACTCTTTCAATCCTGTTAGAATCCTTCTCTGACTAAATCTTGCCAAGGAAGCTTTAGGATAGGATTGTCATAGGATGGATGTTGACTTGAAGCTCATAATAACAGAGGTTTGCAGTCGCAAAGCATCAGATCCAAAATTCCCCTTGTACAATATACAAACATAGAAAACATCTCGTAAATGGTGCATAATGTTGAGTTCCACTACTCAACATTATATACCATTTATTTATTTACCGCATTTATACCCTGCCCTTCTCAAACCTGAAGGGACTAAAGGCAGCTTTTCACATAACTAACTATTCAATGCCTTAAAAACAACATACAATTAAAATAAACATTTAAATTAAGATTAAAATTAACACATATTAAAACAGTTAAAAACATTAAATCCATTATTAAAATCACGCCATCCACAATTGTAATTCAGGGCCATTCCAATAGTCATTGCACATATTGCATATCCTCCTACTGCACTTCTCCAAAGGCTTGGTCCCAAAGTCACGTTTTCACTCTCTTTCTGAAGGCCAGGAGGGTGGGGGCTGATCTAAAATCACTGGGGAGGGAGTTTCACAGCCGAGGGGCCACCACTGAGAAGGCGCTGTTCCTCGTTCCCACCAATAGCGCCTGTAAATGAGGTAAGACCAGGAGCAGGGCCTCTCCAGATGATCTTAGTCTCCAAAGTGGCTTATAGGGGGAGATACATTCAGACAGATAAGCTGGGCCAGAACCATTTAGGACTTTATAGGCTAAAGCCAGCACTTTCCAGAGGATCTCCCAATCCTCATAACTAGAAAGTAAAATGTTCTATAGCAGGAAAAAAAAAACCTATATCAGGCAGAGAACAGATCATTATATACAATTATTGGGATCCAAATCACAGTACAAGCTTTGCCGGATACTTATGATTATCTGTTATCAAATACAGGGAAGGAAACTGGAAATGCAACTTTTAAAATGGAAAAGAAATCTTTTCTCACCTTTTTTGTAGAACAGTGACAGGGAGGTAGATTTGTACAGTTTTTGAGACTGATTTACCATGGGTGGCTGAGAATCTGGAGGGGAACACACTGAATTGGAAAAAGCTTTTCTTTTAGGAGATTTTGTAGGGGATAGATACCTAGAAAAAGGATACAAATAAAACAAGCAACGATGACTTACTAAAATATATTTGGATTAACTAAAGGGACGATTCTCATTTAGAGTGGCTATTGTAAGCATTTTAGGAATACACTCAGGTTGATGACGAGCTCTGCTTGGATTGCTGTTCTTTCAAATGTTAAAGCGAGAAAAAATAAGGTTAAATATTTGGGTGTCAACATCATGAAGAACAAGACTTCTATATAAATAAAAATGTAATGTTCGTTTGTGGGATTAACAGAACTCAAAAACCACTGGATGAATTGACACCAAATTTGGACACAAGGCACCTAACAACACAATGTATGTCCTTCACTCCAAAAAATTGCTTTTGTCATTTGGGAGTTGTAGTTTCTGGGATTTATAGTTCACCTACAATCAAAGAGCATTCTGAACCCCACCAACGATGGAATTGAACCAAACTTGACATACAGTTCTCCCATGACCAACAGAAAATACTGGAAAGGTTTGGTGGGCAGTGTCCTTTGGTTTTGGAGTTGTAGTTAACCTACATCCAGAGAGTACTATGGACTCAAACAATGATGGATCTGGACCAAACTCTACACGAATATTCAATATGCCCAAATGTGAACACTGGTGGAGTTTGGGGAAAATAGAATCTTGACATTTGGGAGTTGTAGTTGCTGGGATTTATAGTTCACCTACAATCAAAGAGCTTTCTGAACCCGACCAATGATAGAATTTGGCCAAACCTCCCACACAGAACCCCCATGACCACCAGAGTGGGCCACAGCAACGCGTGGCAGGGGACAGCTAGTTATTATGTAAAATCTTTCCCAAAATTGGAAAGAAATGAAAAAAGAGTTAGAAGAAAAGGGAAAGTTACATTTATATATTTTGGGTAGAACTTCAATAACATAAACAAATACTTTGGGCTTTTACTTCTCTTTCAAATGATCCTTACCAAAACAAATGGAATATTTTTTTTTAATTTATTTGCCTTATTTATATCCCATCTTTCTCTACCCCAAGGGGGACTCAAGCTGGCTTTCTCCTTTTGTGCAATGGAGAAGGGGATTTATAGTTTTGTCTCACAGGCAAAGAAACCCTGAATATGACTTCAAACAATGCACAATATTAAGAAAAGGGAAGAGACTTGGGAGTACCCAACTGTATTTTATGTTGTTCTGCATACTGGAAATAATGGATGAGAAACATTTGGAACTTGAAGGCCATGATTCAAGATTTGGATGGAATAGTTGTTTCTAATATGATAAAAACACATGCTCAATTTAAAAACCATTGTATTAGAAAGCCTTATTAAAGAGTTTGGTATAAATATAAGCAGATATTTTCCCCTAGGAAGAAAAGACAAAATAGTTTTGTTTTTTTAATTGGAGCTAGCGGCTATGATGATCTTTTGTACTTCAAACAACATAACTGGAAGTTTACATCAAGAGACATACTTCTAAGAAAGGCACAGATCTTAAGTGGCTTGCATTCTTCTCATCTCTGCTTGTTTCTGCCCTCACAGAAGAGATCACTCACTGGAGAAGTAGGATAGTCAGTCAGCTGCCACCTGATCAACAAGGGAACAGACCCCTGCCATTCACAATAGCTGCTGCCCAGTAAGTGGGGACTAGGATGGCAGTCACTGCATTGAACCACAAATTATGTATTCATAACGATCCAACAAAATTTAATGTTTCAATGTTCTTTTCTTTTGTGCATTTCTTTCAGAATTGTATTTTTAAAAAGTAACTAATAAGGATACCATTAAAGGAAAGGAAATAAATGTCGTGTGCCACTTTGAACAGAGACTGGTTTGTCAGTTTGCAAAGAGGAGGGTGGATGAGAGGGGAAAAAGGAAGCAATTTTGACACTTTGAATGTAATTTTTCAGTATATACCTGCCAAAGCAAAAAGAACATCTCAAGGAGTATTTTTCTGTGCCCCACAATTGTGTTGTGCTATAACCTACATTATACAGAAATCTAATTGAAGGTCTTTTCTGCTGCAGCACCTACTTATGGAATATCTGGATCTCCAGAAGGTCTGGCAAGCACTAACACTGGCTTCATGAGAGCACAAACTATCATTAGCCATAGCTTGGCTTAAATTTACCTTTACTCCTGCACTAGTACTGTTTTTACTGACAATACAGAAATCAAATGTTACACTTCTAGATTAGAAATACTAGAAATACAAGCATACATTTATACATAAACACATTCTGTTTCTTCCCCTTCGTGTCTTAATAATTTGTCACCAGCCTCCTCGGGAACTAAGTATGCTTGTTATGCACCAAGTTATAAGTAGCCCACTCATCTCTTTATGCTTAGTCCCCATCAAATCCTAGATCATCCACTCATTTCAATAATTTATCACATTGATATGAATTTGCTCACATCTTTACTTACAGATCAGCAGCAGTGTGATTATGCTGAAGGGGCTGAGTGATATAGCTGGGTGGTTCAGGCTCATCGGGTTGTCCATCCCGTTCCTTTGACTGTTTTATAAGTTCAAATAATGGCGAATCCTTCAGGAAAAAATACCAAATAAGAATTACATTACACTTTGAAACACTGTTTATGTTTTAACAGTGTTTCATAAACACTGAACATAAATTAGTACCAGGGGAAGGAACAGATCACAATAGAACTAACCACTTTGCATGTCTTTAGATTGGATAACTGAATTTTGGCTAAATTCGTCCCGCCAAGCATGAAAATACAGATCTTGTATGGGGTAGTTACTGAACTCACACACTACTATATGTGCCCTATATGTCACCTCCCAGGCAGCAACCACTGCAAGCAACATGGAGCTGTGCCCCAGATGAAATAAGATACTAGCATTAAATTCTAAAAAAAAATGGGCAACAGATGAAGATCTATGAAAAGTAGAGTAACATGTTTAAAACAACAGGTCTAAAAGATAATCTTAGCAGCAGAACGTTGAATGGAAACCAGAGGGCTAAGATGGGATAATTAAAGGCTGGTCAAAAGAAGATTACAGTAATCAAGATGGGAAATGATCAAGGAATAATCTAAATAGAGTCTTTGTAGAGAGAGCGGATAGAAAAGTTCTGATTTTGGCAACATGGTAAAGAAAAAAGTAGCATCACTTTACTATAGTCTCAATGCAAAGAACAAAATATAAAGAACAAAAAATAAAACCAAGTCTATGTGCCTGCTTCAAGGGACAAATGGCAATTGAAAATGTTGTAAACAAGGTTTTAGAGGAAAAAATAAGTAGTCCCTTCTTTATCATATTAGGCTTCAGACAATGAGAAAGCATCTATACCGGGATAACTGAAAGGCATGCTATAATATCAAGCTCAATATCAGTTTTAGGGTGGTGAAGTACAGCTGAGTATCATCAGCATACATGATACTGAAAAACATACAAATAAAATTAGCCAAAATTAACGTATGACAAGAAAACATCAGAAGAGACCTTGCATCAGAAGAGACCTTCAGAAGGGAATAGTAAGAAATCAAGACTGGCCAGGTGACAAGCCAGGTATCACCTAGTCCACCTAAATGAGTTGAAATCTGCAGAGACAAATGGATTACATCCCAAAATACTGAAGTAACTTGCTGGTGAACTATGTGAACCACTTGCCAACTGTTTGTAAAATTCCCGGGAAACAAATGAAGCGCCAGAGGCCGAAGAAGAACAAACACCATCCCTTTCTTCAGAAAAGGCACTAAAGAAGATTAGTCTACCTGATCTAAACACTAGGGAAATATTCTAAGTGGTAATAAAGGAGTCCACCTGCAAGTATCTAAATGAAAGTGCAGTGATTACTAGGACAAGGTACATGATAGTTCAGCCCCTCCCCTATCCCTATGGTGCAGACTTGCCTGATAAGAGAATTTCCTTCAAGCAGGTTAACAATTAACTTCAATTACGGTATCTGCAAGGAAGACTTGCTCAGTTCTCAGAAAAGCATTCACTGGCTTGCTTTTTCTCGAATATACATAAAACACATTTACAAACAAGTTTTCTTTGAAACTTGCTCAGGATAGAAGCCTTGAAGACACAGAAGAGGTGACAGCTATGCTAGACTCCTTGTCTACGATTCTATGGATTCAATATTTTTCAGTAAACTCCATTGACAGACAACTTTCTTATTAATAATGCATAGGATTTCAAGGCATGCCTTCTGAAGCAGTTACATTTTGTGAAGCATGGAAATAAGATTGTCATTTAGTTTAAATCAGGGATAGATGGCCTTTTTCAGCTTAAGATCTGCCTTAAGGTAATTTTAACATCAGCAATGGCTACGGGCAAGACAACATACCCACCCCATTCATTTACAAGCAGTCCCAAAGTTAAAAAAAGATACGGTAAGTTCTGTAGGTGTGTTCTTAAGTTGAATTTGTATGCAAGTTGGAACAGGTACTTTTCAAAAGTGTAACTTCAGTCATATATATAACTACTAGCCGTCCCCTGCCACGCGTAGCTGTGGCCCACTCCGGTGGTCATGGGGGTTCTGTATGGGAGGTTTCGCTCAATTATATCGTTGGTGGGGTTCAGAGAGCTCTGTGATTGTAGGTGAACTATAAATCCCAGCAACTACAACTCCGAAATGTCAAGAGTTTGGTCCAGATCCATCGTTGTTTGAGTTCACAGTGATCTCTAGATGTAGGTGAACTACAACTCCAAAACCAAAGGACACTGCCCACCAAATCTTTCCAGTATTTTCTGTCGGTCATGAGAGAACTGTGTGCCAGGTTTGGTTCAATTCCATTGTTGGTGGGGTTCAGAATGCTCTTTAATTGTAGGTGAACTATAAATCCCAGCAATTACAACTCCCAAATGACAAGTAAATACACGAAATCATATTTAGATGAAGTAGTACTGAAATTGCTATTGAACTGGCTTTCACTGATTGGCAACAGGCTAAGAACATTCTAGCTCCAATTAATAGACTATACCTAAAAATAATTAAAAATTAAAAAACCTAAACTTTCAACCTAGCTACAACCGTGAGGGGTTTTTTTATAGGCGAAATACTTAAAATTATCCAAAATACACCAGCACAACTGGCACATATTATAGTACTAAAAGCTGCAAAGAGCGATGCTTGCTGTCATTTAGTTTCAAGACGACTGGAAAAGCTGTAAAGGTCAGGAAGCTATCCCAATTCAATCTGTCCTCTGTCTAGTTCTAGCCTGTGGCCAACTATGAGGGTTTTTAATTTTAATGGGAAAGGTAAAGTTAGGCTTTCTCCCCCTCCACAAGATGCACAGACAAACGGATGGAAGGAGGATGGGAAGGATACTCAAAGGCTATACCAGGATACTTACATTTAATTAGCATTATTGGGTGTTGAAATATGTCTGAATATGAGAAAACACATCATAGAGGCTGTTTGTGTTTTACATGTCAGGAGCAACTTGAGAAACTGCAAGTCGCTTCTGTTGTGAGAGAATTGGCCATCTGCAAGGATGTTGCCCAGGGGACGCCCAGATGTTTGACGTTTTACCATCCTTGTGGGAAGCTTCTCCCATGTCTCCGCATGAGGAGCTGGAACTGACAGACGGGAACTCATCCCGCTTCTCAGATTTGAACCGATGACCTTTCAGTCAGCAGTCCTGCCAGCACAAGGATTTATTTATTTACTTATTTAAAACATTTATATTCCAATCATCTCACCCTGAAGGGGACTCAGGGCAGAGCACAGCATATATAYGGCAAAAATTTAATGCCGAGACACAAATTCACATACAATACACAAACATTAAAAACATTTATCAAAATATTAAAATACACCATTTAAAACCGTCCTAGTCATCCGTGTAAAATCTAATTGGCCTGGTCATCTTTCCTAATGCCGCTTTATTGCCCTGTCCCGAAAGCTTGGTCCCACAGCCAAGTTTTTACCATCCTTCTAAAGGACAGGWGGGAGGGGGCCAACCTGATCTCACCAGGAAGGGAGTTCCATAGCTGGGGAGCAATCACCGAGAAGGCCCTGTCTCTCGTCCCCACCAATYGTGCCTATGTCAATGGCGGGACGGAAAGTAGGGCCTCCCCAGACGATCTTAATCTCCGTGATTTAACCCATTGYGCAACTTGGGGCTCCATGAAATCATGGTAATGTGCATGGCATTCATGGTTCAAGATCTATATATCTTCCACTGTAATTCATTTTATGAGAGCACCACCCTACTCAAGCGCCATTCTCGGGACAAATCTAAAGTCAGGGCAGGATATATGTTATAGTCGTGACACACTTGCACTTCAAGAAAGACCAGTAACTTAATAAATCACCTGTGTATCCCTTCTGGTCAGATCTGTTTCAAAAAAAGGGGTTTTGAAATGCTTTGTCATCTAGACTGTTAAGAAACCAGGATCCTCTCAAACATTCTGAATTCATTCTCTAATTCGAAATGTTGAGTACCGTCTAGAAAACATGTCTGTGCTGTGTATTAAATGTAAAAATTCCTTTTAAAGCTTCTTTTCATTTTACTTCATTTACCAAACAAAACAAAAGTTTATAAGATTACATGCAATAAGTACAAGCTGGTTTTACAAAAACTGTTTTTGCAGAGAAGAAAGATGTGGAACAGATATCTTTTTGTGTGAAAAAAAACACCACGTCACATCAGAAAAAAGCTCTCTAAAAAGTCATCAATTAATCTCCTGTGTACAAACCAACTCAAATGCCTCTAGTATGTTATTCAATCACAGATCAGAAGGTGCGTTTAGCCTCAATGCTGTGAATAAAGTTTTGACTAGCACTCTGTTGATCTTTTTTCATGCTTCTCAAAAAGATTTCTGAGAAATGCATTGCTTTGCCTTTAACATGAACTGAAAGTTGAAACCTATTCTTTACTCCAACCCCTTTTCCTGTGATGTCAGCTTACTAACTGAGTAAGCATAGGTGGGGCTTTTTTTCAGTAGGCTTCCCTGAAAACGCAAACGCATACAGTATAATTGGTGTGTGTGTGTGTGTGTGAAGAAAGCTCAAATTCAGCAAGAACAGACACGCTTTGGAATTTTATTCCTCTGCCTACTCCCTACGTTGTTGCGGGCTCAAGGTTTGAACTGTCTAAACGTTTATTTAGCAGCACAAAGACAAAGCCACAGGAAAAAAACCCAGCAAGGTTGGGAAATGAGGTCGTCTGTTCACAAAGCAACTTCAGTTCTGTTACTCGCATGCAACTGTGGAAATGATGTGGAGTGTGTTCTACAGAACATCAGGAAGAATCGATTTCTACATCAGTAAGTGGAGCAACCAGATCAAAGCTTTAACCTGAGAAACGTTCTTTGTGTACAATGAGACGGTTAGTCTTGGCTTGGTCTGGCTACGTGACTTGCTTGCTACAATACTTGGACGAAAATAATTCTTCGATATCTACCGACAAAATGCTTTTTAATAATGGGGCCATCGAGGTTTAAAGCCAGGCACAGATGAAAGCACCCAAAGACTGGATTTACAAAGCACCTGAAAGTGTGGCTGCGACTACAATACAATAAAAGAAGGTACAGCTTTACTTTTGAAACTCTATGAGTGGAAATAAAACTGCTATCATAATGCTAAAAAACATCAATTGTTCTACAGAAGACTCTTTTAAATACACTCTGTATGGATATATGTTTAGCATGGTATTTGTCCTTGGCTTAATTTCCAATTGTGCTGCTATATACATTTTCACCTGTACATTAAAAGTACGGAATGAAACAACAACCTACATGCTGAATTTAGCCATATCAGACCTACTTTTTGTGTTTACATTACCCTTCAGAGTTTACTACTTTGCTTCCAAAGACTGGCCATTTGGAGACGTACTCTGCAAGATTTCTGTCACACTGTTTTATATAAACATGTATGGAAGCATTTTCTTTTTGACCAGCATAAGCGTTGACCGCTTTTTAGCAATTGTATATCCGTTTCGGTCCAAGACCATTCGAACAAAAAGAAATGCAAAGATCGCCTGCATTGCAATCTGGACAATTGTGATAGTGGGAAGTATACCTGCAAGCTTATTTCAATCCACCAACTCTCATGTCAACACAAAAGGACAAACACACAATGCGTGCTTTGAAAATTTTTCTGAAGCAACTTGGAAAACCTATATTTCAAGGATTGTTATCTTCATTGAAATTGTGGGATTTTTCATTCCACTTATACTAAATGTGACTTGTTCCACATTGGTTCTAAGGACTTTGAACAAACCGCTGACACTCAGTCGGAATACATTAAGCAAAAAGAAGGTTCTTAGGATGATTTTTGTTCATTTGTTGATATTCTGTTTCTGCTTTGTGCCATACAACATTACTCTAATCCTTTATTCTCTCATGAGGACACAAACATGGGATAATTGTTCAGTAGTTGCCGCTGTGAGAACTATGTACCCGATCACACTATGTATTGCAATATCAAACTGTTGTTTTGACCCTATAGTTTACTATTTCACTTCGGACACAATTCAAAATTCAATCAAAATAAAGAGCTGGTCAACCAGAAAACATGGTTACAGATCATCCAAACCACAAGCTTCAGATAAATTCATTCAACATGGACTCCAGACCTTACAAGCAAGAACTGAGAATGAATCTACAATATAAATGGAAGTGAAAGAATCTGGGAACAAAAACGGAACATTTAAGGAATATTTTTGTATAAAAATATGCTTTTTATAAAGATACACAAATTAGAATGAGTAAAGTCATTTTAACAGTAACAAATGTTTCTATGTTTTCAGTAGATAAAATGTGTTTTTCTTGGAATACAGCCTTTGAAACATTAATATTTTATCATATGGGGAATAATGAACACATGAAAGAGAAATAGTCTCTTTTTAACAATTTACAATATCAGAAAAGACAAAGAGAGCATGATTTTTGACCTAAAGGAATTGATTCATTTACAAAGGGAAATATGACTCCCTCTCTGACTTGAAGGATGAACATATATGCAAATTAGGCCTGTGCACTCAATGAAAACAATGTTTCAATATTCATTACAAAATTGGGGGGTGATTGTTTCTAGAGTTTTTCCGAAACTGCACAGGGTGTGTATCATAACTATAATGAGTTAACTACTTTTTCGTTACTTTTTGTTAAGTAATTAATTGTGCCAATGGGGAAACTTCAGGGGGGTCCTTCTCATTGTTAGATCTATTGGCATGAAACTTGCTACAATTATAGAACACATTTACCACTGTTAGCCTATCAAGTTTCAGAACGTTTTGCCCATCCTCAGATTTTTGGAGAATTTTCAAAGTGTTTACAAAACATTTTTTTAATCTACAAGAATTAAAAATCTCCTTGAATCTCCTTGAATTTTCTATACAATATCACAAGTTAACAGGGAATCGTTCCCATCAAGTTTCAGAAATATTTGTACATCTACTGATTTTTGAGAAGTTTTGACAAAGGTTTTTTTAAGCCACAACAGCTATCTCATGGAATGTTTCCCATATTAACCAATATAACTTCAATTTAGAGATTTCTTCCCAGTCCCACACTGATTTACTTGCATTAAAATATCATCAGTTCTCCTCCTTGAAGGTTCAGCAATTTATTGGACCTCTGGCTATTGCTAGGAGGAAAAAGTCTCTTCCCTATCTTTATTGGAGCTTTCTGATGTTGAGCAGAATTCTGGGAAATGTAGATTATTGCAGAGCCTTCTGCATTCTCTGCCATAGGGGTCCTTTCCTTCCCAAACTACATTTCCCAGAATTCTGTGCTTAGTCTCTTTCCCAGCTCACTCACCCTGCTGCTTTCCTCTTCTCATGGTGAGTGGCCATTAATTTAAAGAGGAATGGTCACCTTTTTGGCTTTGCCTCACTTATACTGAAAATGAAACTGACTTTAATAGGCTTCCGAGCATTACAGAATTCAAACAAAAAAGTATTGGGTTTTTAAGATTTGATTCTTAAGTTTTTGCATGGGTGCACCCCCACCCCCACCCCCACCCCCGGTGTTTCTTAATATCTGTTCGTATATGCAAAACTTACAAATGAGATACGACTTGCTAATTAAAAATGAAGTTTTGCATACCCCTAATGCGTATTCAAGGAATCAATTTTGATGAAACTCTATCAAGTTTCAATATTCAACATTCATGTCTTCAGTTGCATTGCTTTTCCACAGAGCATCAGCCTTTGAATAGATAGACCAGTGGTTCTCAACCTGTGGGTCCTCAGGTGTTTTGGCCTACAACTCCCAGAAATCCCAGCCAGTTTACTAGCAGTTAGGATTTCTGGGAGTTGAAGGCCAAAACATCTGGGGATCGACAGGTTGAGAACCACTGAGATAGACTTTAACCCAATAGACTTCAGTTTCACATTATTTGATATTTGTAATTTGAAATTTGTAGAGGGGATTTTAAAAAACTGTTGATGTAGCTCATGCTATTGTAATTTTTCATTCAAAAGCTGTTAATATTTGAAAGGCTTTCAACTTGGCTGACAACATTTATGAGTAAAGAGGGAAGGGCATTACTTCTAGGCATGAGCCACCAAATATAAACAACAATTACTCCTGTTTACATTAATGTCAGAGCATTAAGCACACCATTACAGTAGGTCTTCCTAGGAAATAAAACATCTCCATACACTTGAGATTATAATGTCAAATAATTAACTCAGTTCCTGGTTGTATAGAAATTTTAAAAACATCATGAACAGATCAAAAGAAGGGAGATGGACTTGGAGACTAGGATTATTTATTCTAGTAGAGACTCTCACATGCAAAGATTAGTTTCACAATTGGGGTAGGAGAAGGATACAGTCAGTCTTCCACATTGTGGGTTTGACCTTGCAGTTTTGATTTGATTAAAACATTCTTTCTAGGAATCTCTAGGTCTTCCATTGCGACTCTATGGTCAAGGTCCACCAGAAGATGACCATAAAGCCACAATGGAAGACCCAGAGATTCCTAAAAAGAACATCTCTCTAGGAACTTCTAGGGGCTTCCAGTGCAATGGTATGGTCAACTAAGAGAAGTTGACCACAGAATCATGCTGGAGGACCTAGACATTTCTAAAAAGATGCCCCCTTGGGTAAAAAAATATTCTTTTTTTTAAAAAAAATGCAATTTTTTTACTTTTGCAGGGGTCTTGTATTCTGACTGTACTCTGTGATCTCATGCTATGCCTAAATTCCCAGATATCTGGTTGTAATAGCAATTGGTGCTTTCACACAACTTTTTTATTCATTATCTGCACCTTCTGTTGCGAGGACATGACTTGGCCTTAGTTCAGTGGTTCTCAACCTGGGGTCCCCAGATGTTTTTGGCCTACAACTCCCAGAAATCCCAGCCAGTTTACCAACTGTTAGGATTTCTGGGAGTTGTAGGCCAAAACACCTGGGGACCCACAGGTTGAGAACCACTGCCTTAGTTGCATTGTATGGAGACTACTGCAATGTGCTCAGCTCTTGGTGAATGTCTGGAACCTTAATACAAAATGCAATACACTGGCTGCTGATACAGAGATCATACTGCAAGTTAGCAGATGCTTTCATGCTCAATTCAAAATGTTATTAATCTTGAGACCTGGTTATTTAAGGCAGTGCTTCTCAAACTAGCTGATTTTTATTTATTTTTTGGTTGGGTCAGGAGCGAATTGAGGAACTAGCTGATAAAGGTGAAGAACTATCTTCCTCCCCAATGGGATAGGGACTAGTGGCATGTTTGTGCCACATTAGCACCAGTTGTTTGTTCTGTTCTAGGCATTCTATGTAGTCCACAGAAACCCATTTTGAATAACACTGACCCAAATGATTTCCTATCTTGTTGTGATCCTATATGAACGCTAGGAACTTGAGAAGAGACCATCAAATAATGTATATATTTTACTGACGATGCAGTAAAATATAGTAAAATCCTTTAAGAAACACATTGTAGTAATACTTTTATTATGACAACTAAAAAGTTGTCTACTCTGGAACATGGAACATTATACAAGCTTTTGAAGTTCACAGGCTAACCCTGGAACGATATCTTAAGGATGTGAAGATAGAACATTTAATCACATCAGGGGAAATCCTGAACTGGAGCCACTCTTGAGTTTTTCAGTGCGGTTTACAGCCAGGACAATATACAAAGTGCACACATTAGCATTTAAAACAGTACTAAAGCAACTACATCGATATAGCAATACAACAGTACATCAATATAACATCTATACATCTATATAACTAATCCATCATGTCTCATCAGTAAAGTCATAATCCAATCTCCTCGTCCATTATTCCAAGTTCCAAGATCAATCAGTTGGTTGCACTGCTTAATTAAACGCCTGTTCAAAGAGCCAGGTCTTTACTCTTCTTCTGAATGCCAGCAAGGAGGGGGTCGATCTAATCTCTGCAGGAAGGGCGTTCCACAGCCGAGGGGCCACCACTGAGAAGGCCCTGTCTCTCGTCCCCACCAGCCGTGCTTGTGAGGCTGGCGGGATCGAGAGCAGGGCCTCCCCAGACGATCTTAATGTCCTAATTTAATCTCCAAATAAGGCAAAAACATTAAAAATTTGCTATAATGCATATACCTTCAGTAGAATGACTTCAGTATAATGACTCAACTATATGCTGTCTACAAAAAGTTTGCAGATACAGACGGCCACGGACTGTCCAGAAGAGGCAGTGTATAAATATAATAAATAAACAATATAAACAAAAATAGAGGAAAGATTTAGAAAACCAATTAATGATTTATACTACACTAGCTGTCCCCTGCCACCCATTGCTGTGGCCCAGTTTGGTGATCTGGAAAATAAAATAATGAGAAAGTGTTGGTTTCTAATATATGTAATTTCTTTATGCTTGTGGGTAAACAGTACTTCTTGTTGTTTCTTTGTCAGTGTTGATGTGGAGATTGTCTGGTTTGTCTACTCTGGAACATGCAACATTTTATTGTCATTCAGGGGTCCCTTTCAAATCTATGATATTATATCTATCATATACATGTGTGTGTGAATCATATATATCTATCTATATTGATGGCTGGATGGCTCGTTGTCAGGAGAGCTTTGATTATGTTTTCTTGCCCTGGTGAAGGGAGCTGGACTGGCGGCATTTCTCAACCTGGCAACCCTTCTGACACAAGGGGGTGTCAGAAGGGTTGCCAAAAACCACTGGAAAATACAGTATTTTCTGTTGGTTGTGAGGGTTCTGTGTGGGACGTTTGGCCCAATTCTATCATTGGTGGGGTTCACAATGCTCTTTGATTGTTGGTGAACTATAAATCCCAGAAACTACAACTCCCAAATGTCAAGGTCTATTTTCCCCAAACTCCACAATGTGTTCACATTTGGGCATATGGAGTATTCGTGCCAAGTTTGGTCTAGGTCCTTCATTGTTTGAGTCCACGGTGCTCTCTGGATGTAGGTGAACTACAACTCCCAAACTCAAGGTCTATGCCCACCAAACCCTTCCATAATTTTCTGTTTGTTGTAGGAGTCCTATGTACCAGGTTTGGTTCAATTCCATTGTTGTTGGGGTTCAGAATGCTTTTTGATTGTAGGTGAACTGTAAATCACAGCAACTACAACTCTCAAATGACAAAATCAATTTTCTGAGTTATGATAACTCCTTGGGGTAGTAGGTGTATTGTGTCCAAATTTGATGGCAATTCATCCAGAGGTTTTTGAGTTATGTTAATCCCACAAACTAACATTACATTTTTATTTATATAGATAAGGTAAAAACAACATTGCATAAAATTTGTGGATGGAATAAAATACATAATATACTAACAAAATATACTACATACTGACCAAAAAGACATTGCTATGAAAAGTTTTTTTTCATAAGGGCTCTATTATGTGGAAGAAAGCTTTACCAGTTGAACTTAAGAGGTTCAGAGATTCATTTGGGAGGAGATAACCCTTCAAGTAACCTTGCTCCTAGCTTTAGGTCTTTCAAGATAACAATCAGCACTTTGAACAGCATCAGGAAATGAAATGACAGCCGGTTCACTTGATAACAAGAAAGGAATTCCATGGTTTGGCCACATAATCTGCTCAAAATCTGAGCTGCAACATTCCACACAGGTTTAGAACTCCATGCAAACATGTTACGAACAGTTGATGTCACTAATGCATATTGCAACATGGTCAAATCCAATTGTGCCAGAAACTAGCATGGCTGGAACCATTCTAACCTAACGGACGACCATTGCGGCACAAGTGTCTCCTGAGCACCTATTGTAAAAGCTAGATCTGCGAGTCCTAAACATGTGAAAGTTAAAGGCACAGAAACAGAAATATGAGATTTCTTCAATCTAGTACAATGCCCAGCATTCTTGACCATTAGCTATACTGGCTGGGGCTGATGTAATTAGTCAAAAACATATTGAAGGGATCAGATTGGGGAAGGGTACCTTATAATGTGTATAATCATGCTCTTAACCTGGTGAAGTTGAAAAGATACTCAAGAGAATAGCTGTGATGTCCAGCTGAGAATATGTTTTTATATCTACACTCTGATTTTCTTCCAACTGTGTTATAAATTCTGTAATTAAAAACCCTTATGGGAAACAGATTATGCTGAAGATGTACTACAGAATAGGATTTGTGTGTGAGAGTGTATTAAATTTTACGAGAGATAGAGTGTGTGTCAGCACAGTGTAATCGTTTGGAGAGTTAGATCTGGACTTCAGAGACCTTCAAAAGGTCACTCTTTCATCCTCAGGGGAAGACAATGGCAAAAATATCTGAGAAAATCTTGCCAAGAAAACCTTGTGATAGGCTTGCTGTCAATCACATATAACTTACAGACACATATCAACAAAACAACAGGATGGGACATTTAGTTCCTCAGAGACATGCAAATGATCTATTACACAACTGTTCCAAGTGATGGTCCACCCACCACAAACTACTGTAACTAGCTAATATGCTGTAAAATACACACACATTATCCTAAACCACAAGTCTGCTATTCTGACTAGGAAGCTAGAGTAACCAAAACCCAGACATTTCAACTCAGAACATCTGATTTTTTCATTTGGTCTCGAAGTGAAGTTTCCTTTAGAAATGTTGTACAAAAGCGGGAATTTCTGGACTCACAAAATTAAAACCCTAACATCACATGGTCTCAACCTAGAAGATAATCCATGGAAAAAATGTTGCAAATGGTTCCAAATTGTCACCTTGGATGTGGTACAGGTAGAAGGCAAAATCTTCTCTCATACACACACACACACACACACACACAGACAGGGTGAGGCAACATAACTTCCTTTTTTCAGAACTTAATAAAACCCATTGTATAAATCAGAATTTTTAATTTTTTTTTATAATGTAGGCGCATACCTAAAGTTTTGTTTTACGTAGTTTTGAAGATCAAATTAGGTAGGTGACGTCCCCCATTCTCCATACACTGAGTAAACCGATTTCAGGCGTTTGTCATGACTCTTGCCAACATACCAGGCGTTCTGTTGGCAATTTCTTTATGTTGGTCTTCATGTTGGTCTTCAAATCTTGTAGGGTCCTTGGACGATTCACATAAACACAGGATTTCAAAAAACCCCATAGAAAAAAATCACAAGGGGCCAAATCTGGAGAGCGGGCCGGCCACTCCAAATCCGCTCGAAAAGTAGGCCTCAACGGCAAAAGCACGCTCCTCACTGTTCCAACGCATGATGGCGACTGAACTGTGTCGACAAAACTTTATACTCCCGCCTCTTGAACAAGACCACTAGCGCTCCGCTACATCTTCAACCGACTGAATGGCGCGCATTTTAAAAAAGGAAGTTATGCTGCCACACCCTGTATATTAGTTCTGCTTATCTACACACACAGAGACAGCATTGCAATGTGTATGTGTATATTAATTCAAATGTTCAACTGTATAGAATAAATTCTTGACCAGATTCTTCACTACTCAACATTTTCCCATTTTCTAGAGACAGCCATTTTGACATTTTACTCTTTGTATTACTATACATAGATTATCAGAAACACAAAATCATCAGCTGCTTTGTTGTTTTGTTCTACAACTCATACACAGACACAAATGTAGTATATAAATATTTATCTTTCCATTACATTAAAAATTATTATTTATTTACATTATTTATTTACATTTTTTATATCCCGCCCATATCAGCCCGCAGGCGACTCGGGGCGGTCTACATATCGGCACAATTCGATGCCATCAATACATACATTCAAAAAGCAAAAACAATTAAGTGCATTTAGACAAAAAAGACCATTTAAAAAGAGCTATATCCTCTCAACCAATAAGAGATATCTGGAGGACCTGAGTTCCACTATCATACATTAACCTTGGCCTTGGTATTACTTCTGAACACTTTCATTCAGTGTTGCAGATAGACACCTGAATCAAGGATATACACAGAGTAAGTCTTTGACAAAAAATGTAGTTGCTCTCTGCAAGTGTACCCATTTGGCTTCCATGGCATACTGTATCATGTGACCAAGCCATATAGAAACACAAAAGGCAACATGTAATACTTCTTAAATACATTTCATACATGCACATGCCAACATAAAAACTCCATTCCTCCTAACAAAATATGTGAAATGACTTGGGAAGGGGTTGTCCAACAAAATATATATATGTCCAGGTCCTGAACCGGTGCTTGGCCGCTGTGACGGTCTGGATGAGGGCGAACAAATTGAAATTGAATCCAGACAAGACAGAGGTACTCCTGGTCAGTCGCAAGGCCGAACAGGGCATAGGGTTACAGCCTGTGTTGGATGGGGCCGCACTCCCCCTGAAGACGCAGGTTCGCAGCTTGGGTGTGGCCCTGGACTCATCGCTGAGCCTGGAACCCCAGGTTTCGGCGGTGACCAGGGGAGCATTTGCACAGCTAAAGCTTGTGCGCCAACTGCGCCCGTACCTTGGGAAGTCTGACTTGGCCACGGTAGTCCACGCTCTGGTTACATCCCGTCTAGACTACTGCAACGCTCTCTACGTGGGGTTGCCTTTGAAGACAGCTCGGAAGCTCCAACTAGTCCAACGCTCGGCAGCCATGATTTTAACAGGAGCGGAGCGAAGGGAGCATACAACCCCCCTGTTGCGCCAACTCCACTGGCTACCGATCTGCTACCGGGCTGAATTCAAAGTGCTGGCGTTGGCCTTTAAAGCCCTAAACGGTTCCGGCCCAAGCTACCTATCCTGACCGCATCTCTGCCTATGAACCCACCAGGACTTTGAGATCTTCCGGGGAGACCCTGCTCTCGATCCCGCCTGCCTCACAGGCACGCCTGGCGGGGACAAGAGACAGGGCCTTCTCGGTGGTGGCTCCTCGGCTGTGGAACACCCTTCCCGTGGACATTAGACTAGCACCATCTCTAATGGTATTCCGCAAAAAGGTGAAGACCTGGATGTTTGTGCAGGCGTTTGAGTAATTTAGTGCAATCTGGTAATGGAACATAGGAATGGAACAATGGACGACGAACCTGGACTACGCTTGGATGATGAGAAGATTGGGTACGGTTGTTTTTTGTAATAATTGTGCATTGTAATTGCTTATTGGTAATTTATGGATAATGTGTTAAGTATTGTTATATGTTGTATGGAACCACTGCTGTTTCTACTGTTTTTACTGTTTGTGAACCGCTGTGAGTCGCCTTCGGGCTTGAGATACAGCGGTATATAAGCAAAGTAAATAAATAAATAAATAAATAAAATATATTCTGAAAGACAACTTACTGATTGCCACGCAAGGGATTCCATAATTTGGTGTTCACAGCATTCTAGGTGTTTGATCATCTCTCTTGTCAAGCTTGGCTCAGCCTTAATGAAGCTCTCAATAACTTTGTACAAGTCAAAGGCTTTTAAGCCAAGTATATTGATGATCCATGGGAAAGACAAGTTGGTTTCCATATTCACGCTATCACCTTGTGAAGCATTTGTAGAAGCTAAAGAGAACAGAGCTAATTACTTTCATAACAAAGTAACCTTTAATCCTGTGTAGATTATTATTTAATGCATTGAGATGGGGCCATTTGTATTTAACGTGATATAATCATTTCCTGTAATGATGGAGAACATATTTCTGATGGATTATGTATCATACTCTACAGATAATGTTTCAATCAATAAGAGATATCTGGAGGTACTGTGATGTATACAAGCAATCTATGCTGAACCAGCCTTGTGAAAGAAAACGCTGTTAGAACAAATTATTAACTACACCAGCAGGGCTGACAAGATCAAAAAGAAGCCAACCCAGAGATTTCTCTTTCCACTTGATCATCATACTGCAGGGTAATATCAAAGAGGGTAAAAAAACCATCAGAAGCTCTTTTTAAACTTAAATAGAGCTGCATAAAAACTGAAGCTCATGAAATGATAACCTAGTTGGATGTGGGGCAGAAAACATACTTATCTTGAATAGGCTGAAGTCCTACATCTTTGCTAAATTGAAAAGTAATCCATCAAAAAAGAGAACCTCTGCCACTACAGGAAAAAAAATCATCTTTTGAACAATGTGTTATCGAAGGCTGGAATCACTGGGTTGCTGTGATTTTTCCGGATTATATGGCCATGTTCCAGAAGCATTCTCTTCTGACATTTCGCCCACATCTATGGCAGACATACTCAGAGGTCTTTTGAACATTTTACATCTATCTTGACAGAGTTCCCAGCCTCAAAAAAAGTTGCAACTCAAAATTGTACAGAGAACAAATTCTAATGTAGCATTAAGAATCAAAAGCTAATATTATTAACTAGCTTGGGTACCCGGCAGTGTCCAGGATATTTGAAAAAGGCATTGTTTGTTTTGGGGTATCAGGTAATATAATTTAGTTAATTAGTAACAATATTTATTAGGAAAAGGCCAGAATGAGATGTCATTTTTTATCAGTGCTCCCATTAGAAAATATGTGGGTGAACTACAATTCCCGGAATCGTGGTTCAATCCTCCCCAAACCAGACCTGTATGCACAGTTGGGCATGTTGGGTGTGTGTGCCAAATTGGATCCAGATCTGTGGTCCCCCAAACCGCTCCAGTTGCTGATCAATTTCTCTTTATTTGCTGTGTGCCGTAGAAAAGGGTAGGAAAGGGTTAAGGGATAAGCAGTGGGCAGGGTCATGCAAATTCCACACAAGGAACCCTGGGATGCCTGCTTTTGGTGGAGGAAACACATTAAATCTAGGATGAAGTTCTCTCTGAATGAAAGCATTCCTGGGGTGGTGGGCCATAGTGTTTGGGGAGGACTTTGGCAGAGTTGGGCTACATGTTCATGGCACTCGCTGTAACGTACAATGTCAGTTGAGGGAGTGCCTTTGGAGGCTTCTCAGCACTTGGAACTATCGCCTGTTTGTGGAGGTGGGAGGCTATCTGTATAAGTGGATACCTCTGCCACATTCACATTTTTCACTTTTATTATGTGTATAGATAATAGAGAATGATATTTAAGTTATACTTACTGCCATAAGTAGCCAAAACAACCTCAAGGGAACAGGCCAGCAGAGATGCATGAAAGATGTTGTTATTCAAAAGTTTGCTGTAAGAAAATAAGTCTCAATAACATATTTCAAGATTTAAAATAACCTATAGGTATTAAAGTATGTTTAATCAACATACCTAAAATTATGAATTGATAGCCTTTTTTCTTCCTAGAACAAAAGCAAAAAAGATAGACTTTAGTATATTTTTAAAACTCCATTTGTAAGAACTGAAAGTCATGAAGACATACCGACTTTAAGATGGATTCCATCACTCTGTAGTATAGCCGTACTCCAAGCCTGTATCTCTGGAAAAACAAAAATTTAAACTCTTTTAACACAATACTATTTAATACATAACACGAAAAGACAAAATACAGCCTTGAGGGACACCACAGGCCAACAGCCAGGGACCAAACACAAATCCCATAGAACCACCTTCTGAATTTGTCCCAAAACCTCTTGGCTGTCATGCGGAATATGACATATTGAGCCACTCCTTCCAATGCAATATATGCATGGTTATTGAAGTCCACAAGCACTGCATATTAAGTTGACTCCAGCACAACTCTTGGACTTACTCAGCTAGCTCAGAAAGGCAGGACTCTTAAGGTGGCATACCAACAAAATCCCTTCAGATTCAGGTTCAGCAAATGATGGCACAGTGAAAAAAAATCATAACAGATTCTTGCTACTGCGCAAGAATGAGTAAAAGTACTACCCAATGAGTAAAAGATAAAGATTACCCATGCTTCAACAAGATTGTTTCTTGTTTGTTAAAAATGCAATACAACTGTTTGGTTTGCTCCTGACACGATAAATAAATAAACAAGATTTTTGTAATACAGTCCAGATTAACATGCTTGTCAGGAACCCACAAGATCAAAGCTTGCACTTCTCTCAATGATTGACCTGGTAACCACCACCAGCAGCTTTAATGTAGGAGAACTATTGTCAGGGCTGTCCACGTTGTTTGAAATGTTTAACTCACTATCCCACAATGCTCTGGCTCCCACACACTCTATATTCTCCTCCTCTTTTAGTTCTACTAAGCATTGTTTCCCTTTACCCCGTCTGCCTTTTGTAAAAACACCAATTCAGCAGGAGGTAGCAACCTCAACTTATAGTAGTACTGAAAGGACAGGTTGATTTCTTCAAGTGGGCATCTGTGAAGTCACACAAATATGTTGCTGTAAGTTTTTTGTAAGGTCACAACCTCTGAGGATGCCTGCCACAGATGCAGGTGAAATGTCCGGAAAGAATGCTTCTGGAACATACACATAAACATAATGCATTGTCGAAGGCTTTCGTGGCCGGCATCACTGGGTTGTTGTAGGTTTTTTCGGGCTATATGGCCATGTTTTAGAGGCATTTTCTCCTGACGTTTCCTCTGCATCTATGGCAAGCATCCTCAGAGGTTGTGAGGTCTGTTGGAAACTAGGAAAATTGTGTTTATATATCTGTGGAAGGTCCAGGGTGGGAGAAAGAACTCTTGTCTGTTGGAGCTAGGTGTGAATGTTTCAACACAAACATAATGCTTCTGAAAAAACTTACAGCAACCCAGTGATTCGAGCCATAAAAGCCTTCAACACCACATCACACAAATGTCTTACCTGTATCTACACAGTGTATCTTTTGGGCGCTTTTAGAGATCTTATATGCGCATTTGGGTGGTGGGCCTGGCCACTCCTCAAGTACTACATCAGTGTGTTTCCTGCCTAAACTTTCACTTCCCTGACAAGGATGTAAGGATAAGCAGGGCTCAATGATGAGAGGATGACTGGGGTGGGTTTATAGATGATTACTCAAAGAATTACAGTTACTCGTAACTGTGACTCACACAAGGATAATTTAGCATGCGAGACTAGCAGTACAAGGAGGATGAGTCATGACACATAGATAAAAAGCACAACCCCACCAAATGCAGCCTCTGTCTGAGACCTGTTGTGACATTTGATACTACAGACCATAGTATGCTTTTGGAACACCTGGCAGCTTTGAAACTTGCTTCAGGGTTCTGGTTCTATCTCTCAAGTAGATTCCAGGTGGTGGTGCTTGGGAGAAAAGGAACCATTCTAGAGCATACCACAAGTGCCATACTGTCCCTAATTCTTTTTCAACATCTCCATCAGAGATCATCCAGAGTCATGGGGCAGGGTGCTATCAGCTAGTTTTAACTACAGATGGTATGTGTTTTAAACTGTGTTTTTATTTTATTTTATGAGTTGATCATTTAAAAAACTTTTATGTGATATTGTTTTTATACTCATATACCGTTTATGTTATATACTACACTTATTGTGCCTTGTAAGCTGCCCCGAGTCCCTTTCGGGAGAAGGTGGTGGGATATAAAGTGTATTATTATTATTATTATTATTATTAAACTGATGTTAGGTGTCTTAGATGGTTTGTATGTTCTTAACTAATTTTGTATGTTGTATTTTAATCCGTTGTTGTTCCCTCAAATCATGGGGATTGGAGTAGATGACCCTTGTGGTTTCTTCCACCTATATGCTTCTGATTCTAAGAAATAAAAACAGCAGCAACACCAACATTAAAAAACAAAACAAATATCTTTGCTTTCATGGTTACAAATTGAAGAACAAATCTCAGCCATGAGAGCTTTTCAATTAACACTAATGACAACTGCAGATAAACCAAAATATGCTTTGACTTTTAATTCCCATTGGTCCAGTACATTTCAAGCATTTGGCACATGCTCTACTTCCAAATTCATGCCCTCCCACCTCACCCAACTTTACATTTATTTATTTATTTTTAAATTACAAAGAGAAATCTACCTGTGATCCAATTTCAGCACATCTTTGTCCAACTGCTTCAGCAAACTTTTCTTTGAAGACACGACCCAGATTTTCTATTCTTTCCACTACATCATGTGTAGGATTTACTGTGCAGTTCTGCAAAGGTCAAGGGAAACGGTTTCTCAGATGAATAGATGTATAATATCTAAGAAACAAAAACATCTTCCACATGAGTCCCAGCTTCACAGGAAGTCAGTATTTACTGAAAAAGGGAACGGAAAACTGCAAATTTCAGACACACCTACTCTGCTTAAAAAAAAAAAAAAGACCTCTGAAAGCCCTAAAGACAGAACACACTCAAATTTATTTATTTATTTATTTACAGGTTTTTATATTCTGCCCTTCTCACCCCGCAGGGGACTCAGGGCGGATTACAGTGTACACATATATGGCAAACATTCAATGCCAATTTTTGACATACAAACATATACAGACATACACAGAGGCTATTTTACTTTTTCTGGCCGCCAGGGGAGCTGTCGCTTTCATCGTCCATCTGCGATGCTGATGAAGCACTTCCGCATTCCCCGCATGCTTCCCCGCTGGAATGCTTTGCTGGAGTTTTTTATGGCCTCATAAATCAGTTAATTTAGCCTCCCCACACTTTAAGGTGGTACCTAATTTTCCTACTTGACAGATGCAACTGTCTTTCGGGTTGCAAAGGTCGACAACAGGCTACACACAATTGGTTGGAAACCCACTCCAACCCGGGCTGGCTTCAAACTCATGACCTTTTTGGTCAGAGTGATCTTAATGCAGCTGACACTCAGCCAGCTGCGCCACAATCCCGGCGCATTGGCAAAACGTTGACCACCAGGCTGGCATTTTATTGTATTTTTATTGTATTAATGTAATGTTTTAACTGTTATAATTTATTGTTACTATGTATTTTACTGTGTGAATTGTAGACATCAGCGTATGCTGGTTGGAAGCCGCCCTGAGTCCCCCTTCGGGGGTTGAGAAGGGCGGGGTAGAAATACCCGAAATAAATAAATAATAAATTAATTCAGATAATCAAGTTTTTTTTAAAGTTCATCATTTGAGGGTGTCCTGTAGCATTATTCTGTACCACAGAATGGTTTTACCAGCTTTGTATGTTATCCCCGCTATTGGTCTAACAACTTCTGGAATCCATGTTTTTGTTGTTGTTGTTTATTCAGTTAGTTGCGTCCAACTCTTTGTGATCTCATGGACCAGCCCACTCCAGAGCTCCCTGTCAGCCATTGCCACCCCCACCGCCTTCAAGATCAAGCCAGTGACTTCAAGGATAACATACATCCATCTTGCCTTTGGTCAGCCCCTCTTCCTGTTTCCTTCCATTTTCCTCAGCATCATTATCTTCTCCAAGCTTTCCTATCTTCTCATTATGTGGCCAAAGTACTTCAGCTTTGCCTCTAATATCCTTCCCTCCAGTGAGCAGTCGGGCTTAATTTCCTGGAGTATGAATTGGTTAGATCTTCTCATGGTCCAAGGCACTCTCAGAATTTTCCTCCAGTATCACAGCATCTATCTTCCTTTTGCTCAGACTTCCTCATGGTCTAGCTCTCACATCCATAGTTTACTATGGGGAATACCACTGCTTTGACTATGTGGATCTTCGCTGCCAGTGTGATGTTTATAATCTTAACTATTTTATGGAGGTGGTCATTGTTCTCCTCCCAAGAAGTAAGCGTCTTCTGATTTGTATTATTTCAGCACAAATATACAGAGGGATCTTTCAGTTCAGGAGCCACACAGACTATAGCTAATGTTTCTAACAAGGCATTATGTATTTATTAAAGCACCTTCCTCTCATATGAAGTGGTTTCTAGGCCCAATCCAAACTACGGATTTACACAACTGCAGACAACTGGGAAAGGTGTACACAACTTGGGGATAAAATATTGGAAGGTATACTTATATGCTCTGATTGTGCTTTGAAACCACCAATAAAAGTCCTGGTGTGCACAGGGGTTAACTACAAGGAGTTGGGCTTTCTTTCTAGGAGCTCCATAGCAGTAGAACACTCTCCCTAAATATACACACTGAGTCTTATGCTTTAAAAATGGCCCAACCCTTAAAAATATCCAGGCTAGAAAAGGACATAAAGACTGTCAGACCGAGCTATATTACATTAAGACAATGAAAACAAATGCATGTTTGATCACTTTATAAAATAGAATATAACATAAAACTCTGTATTTCTATTCTGTACACAATTAGTGTTTTCATTAGTTAAAATGTTGCTGCTTACATTAAAATATGAGATAAGATTGTCTGATGGTTTATCACTTGCAGAGTTTAAAATCATCACTAGCTGCTGAATGGTGTTCATTGCAGTCCTGCAGAAAAGAAAAGCATTGTTACAATTTCCTGAAATATATAAAGTTGTTTTGAACCAAAAAAAACTTCCAATGAAATGATCCTTTACAAAGAACATTATTGAATATCATTACAAGAAAAAATGTTACTTCTCTTCATTAACATATTTGGCCTTTTAGACTATTTATGAACATTTTTAGTTAGTATTTCACAATTTCTAGACAATTCTAGCTGAACTGACATAGTATCACAGAATTTTAACCAGAATTATGTTTGCTTTAAAAAGCTGACAGCAGTAAAATATCTACCATCATTTGCTTCTGTTAACTAAATTTTGAAATCCACTTTGGTCAAAGTTACCAACCATATTGTTCTTTCTTATCCACAGGGACTCTGTGAATGAATACCCTTTTTAATGCAAAAGTATCAAATAACAAGAACTGAAGGTTTATAATACTTGAGAACTGAAATGTGGATCTGGTAAGTTCTTTATACCTTTAAACATAATTTTCTACATTTTTGAAGCAGTCTTTTTTAAAGATCACCTTAAATATACGTACCGTACTGGAGTCTGTGGAAGTACAATAAGAAGATCTTCACCTGAGTTTTTCATTGGTGTCCTCTCCAACTGTAAACTTAATATGAGAAAAAATACAATTTGTTGCAAACAAAGGCTTGATGTGTTCCTGCTGTGACATATGATAGCTCTGTGAGGCTCATTCTTTTCCCTTTCACCATTCACTTATTTCACTTGTGTGCATCATTCATTAGTATTTCTTTTTTCTTCTGGCAAAGCCTCCATGTTTTTCAAGAATATTTATTTATTATCTTTCATGTTATTTTTAAGAAGGCTCCTCAGCTCATGCAGCTGATTCCTCCCCTTCTTTTTTAACTCAGATCTCAGATATGGCATAATTCTATAATCTGAAGCAACACTTTTTATCACATTTACAAATAAAGAAATCAAACAACTCCACTCAAAGATAATTCATTCAGTTCCCTGCTCATGCAGGAAATACCACTCTAAACTAGGAAATATCTATTTTTTTACAGACCTCACAACCTCTGAGGATGCCTGAGACAGATGTGGGCGAAATGTCAGGAGAGAATGCTTCTGGAACATGGCCATACAGCCTAAAAAACTCACAGCAATCCAGTGATTCTGTCTATAAAACCATCGACAACACAGGAAATACACGGTTGCAATATCCCTGATACAAGTTTTGAATCAAAGGTTTGACAACAACTAAGGCCCCTATTTCCCAGTATCTGATCCCAGATTATCTGCTTATCCCACATTATCTGGCAGTGGAGACTCATATAATCCAGTTTAAAGCAGATAACCTAGGATCAGATCCTGGGATATACAACAGTGCAGAGGGGCCTAAAACAACTGAGTCAAACCCCTTCCAAGACTACATATGTTTTACTCATAGAACAGTGCATACTGTCATAGATGATGCTTTCTAATGCTTATTTTTCATCTAGTTTATCACTTAAAATATTGTGACAAACATGGGAGACATTAAGACATGGCCTCAATTTGCTCCATAGGCAGAGACATTAAAAAAATTCAAGGGGAAAGGTTAGTTACCATTCAGTGTGTTCATATTGTAAAATCCCATCTTTCTCCAGAAATAACCTGGCATCGATATCCTTGTTTTTCAGATACATTTCTTCATACATGCTTGACAAATTCTCAACCTTGGTTTTCAAAAGATTCAAAGAATAAGAAAGCTTATACTAACAGTATGCTAATAAATCATATGAAGATATTTATCTGCAATTTAATTTCTTCAAGATTTTAGATATACTTCAATTACTGTACCATCTTTCTACTGCTACAGTGCTGAGAAATACTAACCATTATTTAAAAAGAACAGAACCATTAAAACACCATAAATAGAGCAATTTTAAAGGCCAAATAGAAGATGTGTGATTTTATTCTTTTTTAAATGTAGTAAGACTGGAAACATAGGTCCATTTATTCATTTTCAATAAAAGCCTATTAGGTAAAGATAAAGGTTTACTCTTGATATTAAGTCTAGTTGTGTCCAACTCTGGGGTGTGGTGCTCATCCCCATTTCTAAGCCAAAGAGCTGGCACTGTCCATAGACGCCTCCAAAGTCATGTGGCCAGCATGACTGCATGGAGCACCATTACCTTCCTGCAGAAGCAGTATTTATTGATCTACTCACATTTACATGTTTTCAAACTGCTACATTGGCAGAAGCGGGGGCTAACAATGGGAGCTCACCCTGCTCACTGGATTCAAACCGCCAATCTTTCAGTTGGCAAGTTCAGCAGTTTAACCCGCTGCACTGCCATATAAAATCCACATTAAGTATCTGCTTTGAACAAGTACAAAAGCCATATAGTGCAGTTACTTTTATTTGTCCCATTTATCACATGCTTACAATCTCAACAGTTAATGAGATAAACGACTTTAAAACAAAATACTGGTCAAGAATTTAAGATAGCAAATAATTATAAGAAGCATAGCTACAATATATTAAAATGATTCTTAAATTTATTCCAGTCTTACCTCTGGAAGTTTGCCGAAAGCTGTAATACCCATGGAATTGAGGAATGGAATGAAACTAGTAAAATACACATTTTTCACCTAAAAAGATTGAAAATATTCTAACTACTGAGAAATCAGTTCCCATGCATAATACCGCAGCACAACCCAATTACACTTGTTTACATGACCCCACATCTTACAGACTGGTTCCTCAGACCTAAACATAAGGACTAGCATAAAATGCTTATAATACATGGCAATGATTTAAAAAAATATTCTATCTGCTTGCCTGGAATGTACTCAAACAATAGATTGAGTAGGCTGTAAAATGTTTTTCTTTGCTTTACCATTTGAAAGGCAAATTTGATAAGGGATTATATTAACTTATTCTATTACACAATATGAAAGGCAAAGGTTTCAGACTCTCCTCACTTTTATTATGTCATTAAGGTAACAAGAACATAAAGCAAATGTAGGCTACAGCATAGGAATTACAACAATCTTTCATGTGTCAGCTGCCCTTTGCAAATATTAAGTCACCAAGATGGAGGAAGAAGAAAGAACATTAGGAAATCCTTAAATATAGTTGGTGTGGCTGCCACCAACTATACTGAACTGGTTGAGACTCTATGAGATATTCATTGAAAAAAATAGAGCAAAATGTGCTGCAGAGTGCCTCGCAAAAGCAAAGTTTTTGCAGTTTAATCATCATTTTCCATATTTTATGATAGAACCATTTAGGTAATGATATTTATAATCCAGGGAAAATTTGTGTTACATAGTGTAATACATTTCAAAAGGTAAATTTAATTTGCAGTTCTTCTCTGAATTAACTATAACTTTAGTTTATTAAGAATGATAATGTGCCGCGCCAAATTACACACAATTATTAATGTTTCTTAAGTAACAAAGTTCTATCTGTGAAAGATATTAATACTGTGCCAAAAATTTTCCCAATTTTTCCAGACTTTTATTTTTTTCTGAAAAATTTGAGGGATTTTTTAAACCCAGAATTTCAAAATGGCCAAACATTGCATAATGAAAGAGAATCTACCTGGCTTTTCTCCTTAAATATTGTTTAACCCAGGGCTCTTCAAACTAAGGCACGGGGGCCAGATATGCCCCCCCCCAAGGTTATTTACCCGGCCCTTGCTCAACCAAAGTCTGAAACGACTTGAAAGCACACAACAACAACAACAACAACAATCCTATCTCATCAGCCAAAAGCAGGCCCACACTCCCCATTGAAATACTAATAAGTTCATACTTATTTAAATTCTTCTTCAATTTAATTATTGTATTGTTTATAAGTGGGGGGGGGGGTTGCACTACAAATAAGATATGTGCAGTGTCCATGGGAATTCGTTCATTTTTTTTCAAATTATAATTCGGCCCTCCAACATCTTGAGGGACTGTAACCTGGCCCTCTGTTTAAAAAGTTTGAGGACCCTGGTTTAACCTATTGACAGAACTCAGGACAATATCAGAAGATGAGTCCAGAATATCCTTCTCAGGCATTGTGTTAACCACATGTGCTCTGGTCTTAAACAACTGATGTCCCTTAACTGTTGCTGGAAGCCATTTCTACTGCTACTACCTTGCTACTATGGGATCCAATGAGTGAAGGAAATGAAATAGACTGAGTCTGCCAAGTTGAGCAAAGGGGCTTACTTGAATGAGTGGCTTTAGCCCATTGAGCAGCCATCTACTTGTCTGTATCCATCCTTCAGGTATCCCAGCAACTGCTTGGGATGCTCTGGAGTTATATGAAAAGCCTGAGTTGGCTTTCTCTATAAGTGAGCCATGCACTGTGGTGGCAATGCTGAGAACCTACTTCTCTTAATTCCAGAAAAAGGGAAACGTTGAAAAGTAATTTTCAGTAATCTGTCCCATGGCTGGGAAGAAGTGAAAGCAAAAGAAAGCTGCTTGTGTAGATGGAAGGAAGGAAAGAAAGAGAAGCAAAGAATGAATGGATAAGTGGAAGGAAAGAATGGGTGGATGAATGGAAGGAGGAAAGGATGGATGGACAGACAGATAGATAGGAGGGAGGAAGAGAGAAGGAAAAAAAATCAGCATTGGAGAACATTTTTGAGAAGGGTAATAAAGGATTAATTTCCAGATTATCTAAATATATCTTAGAATACAACTTTGAGGACAACCAAATAAAAATAGCTATGATTTTGTGTGATAAAGATCTAGCAAAAATATTATTTTGGAGAATTGGAAACATCTATAGAAAAGACTAATTATGACTAAGCAAGCACCAAAAATGGACAAAGAAAAAAGTCATTACAAATAAATGGAAGGTCTGCTACAACTGGGTGAAAAATGGAGGAGCCAATGATCTCATCAAATAAAAAATACAAACACTTTATCAGTAGCGGATCTACAAGATTAGTAGAAATATACTGTGGTTGAGAAGGGAGGGAGAGGGAGGGAGGGTAGGTGAGAAAAAATGTAATCTACACCAGTGTAAATTACCACAATGTCTTTAATATTTGTTGAATTACTCAGGATTTATATGTGTAACACTTGGAATTTGGCTTGTCGATTTGTGTTTATAGCATAATAAAAAAGTTTTTAAAAATCTATGGAAAAGGGGATTAAAATTTTCAATAGCGGGATCTATTAGAGAAAACATGTTCAAATTGTATAACAGATACTACATAACCCCAGAGATTATAGCTAAAATAGATAAATCTTATTGAGGGGAATGCTGGAGGTGCAAGATACAGAAACGTACTTTTTTCAATGTTTGGTGAGCCTGTAGGTTGGTACAATTTTTTGGAAAAAGGCATTTAAAGAAACAAACAAAATGATTACTGAAAAGGTTTCTTAAAAAAAACCAGAAACATATCTTTTAGGATTATTTAGACAGAGAATCTGCAAAGGAATTGAAGAAATATGCCAATATAGCTTTGTTGCTTGCTGAGAGATTAACAATAGTGAAATCTTAGAAAGGGAAAAAAGTTACTTATAAAGAACTGGAGAGAAAAAAATATTAGAATATATTCAAATGGCCAAGCTAACAAATGGTATTCGGTTAGTAAACAATGGGCAATTTGCTAGAAACAGAAGCTGGCATTTGGATATTTGGAGAGGAAGACAAATGTAGACTTTAAAGCATTTGCAAGGGGAATTTATTAAAACTGATATAAGGGTGGGCTTTAATGGTTATAAGAGTCATACTGAGTAGTGTCAGAAGTCATAGGTGGTGGGTTTACAGATGTGGAGAAGCAGGGTAACATGTTATAATTGTCTAGTTTCTGTTAGTTACTGTATTATTTGAATTTGGTTTTTACTTTTTGTTTATTATTCACACACAATATTTTTTTAATTACAGAAAAAAATAAGCTTCTTAAATAGGTTGTGTACTTCAAGGCTAATAAACACTTTGCTGTCATAGTAAATTGGTCTAGCAACTCATCCAAGTATATTCTCCTCTGGTAAATCCAATATCCACTCACAGTGCTCTTCTCTAAGCAAAATGAAAAACCAGCTTTGCTGGAACCAACACAATTTATACAGACAAGAAGAACTGAACATGTTGGCAGCACAGTGGGAATATATCACAATGCAATCTGGGCAAACTTATGTGGCAACAGTACACAAGAAACATTATTGATAAGGAAAGGAGACAGAAGTTATTTTGTGGAAAATGAAATGAATATTTCAAACAAATCCTCATCCCATCTTACCTCATCCAAATTACAATCATGTGTTTTACAAAGTTCTTCAATGACCTTTATTGTATCCGTATCTGGTTTTGACGCTCGTGTGTTCCGATTCTGACTCCGCCTGCCAGTTCGAATTGAACTATTACTACAACCTGCACTCAAGGATTCTAGAAGAAAGCAATTGTTTGTTCATTATATATCCTTACTTTAAAACATAATCTAAGTTTAAAAAACAGTAAATTAAGCATACAAAATGTTTCTATAAAGTAGGTAGTAAATTAGAAAAGGAAACGAGAATGACAATGAAGTTATCTACTTGAGTGCATAACCTACAAAGAATTATTTCTCCCTGAACACAACCTTATCCTTTATGTTTGAAATTCAGTTTTGGAAGACTAATATAGGGACAAGAAGCTGATTCTACCGCTGATGAGAGCTGCAACAACACTTGGAAAGTGTCTGTCATGGGAAACATGCTACTACATGCTAATAACAATAATAATCCATTGTATTCTGTGCCCTGCCTATATACACAAAAAATAAAAGCTTGAAAGACAGGGTAGACTTTTCCCCTTGCTAAGCAAGATTTGTCTGGAAAACCAGCTAAGAAGCACAATGGTGTGAGATTAAGAAAACCCAGGAATGGGGAGCCAGTCCTGCAAATGAAAGCCAGCTATGTATTTATTTATTTACTAGATTTGTATACCGCCCTTCTCAGCCCTCAGGCGAATCAAGGCGGTTTACAATGGCAACTAATCGAATGTTGCTTCCTTAAAACTGACTCTAAAGAGAAGCCATATTCTTGGCTTCCCAAATCTTAACTGATTGGGAAGCAGATGCAGTAAGCACATTTGGCAGCCATAAAGGCAGAGAGAGCCCAGACATCCAGTGCTCAGTTCTCTGCTAATGCCTGGCATGGAAAGAAAGGTCCATTTCTCAACACATGATGCATCTCTATTGCCACCATAATGTCATCAATACTTGTGAAACTTTGGTACACAAATTAGGATAAATTTATGTTAAAGGCGTGAAGACCCATACATTACAGATTAATGTCTTTAGAACATTATGGCAAATATATTAACTAGAAGTGTACCAATACGGCATAATGACAGCATTTTGCTGGAAGAAGCAAAGACCACCAGCATTGAAGCGATGGTCCTCCGCCATCAACTCCGCTGGACCGGCCACGTTGTCCGGATGCCCGACCACCGTCTCCCAAAGCAGTTGCTCTACTCTGAACTTAAGAACCGAAAACGAAATGTTGGTGGACAGGAAAAGAGATTTAAAAATGGGCTCAAAGCCAAGCTTAAAAACTCTGGCGTAGACACTGAGAACTGGGAAGCCCTGGCCCTTGACCGCTCCAGCTGGAGGTCAGCTGTGACCAGCAGTGCTGCAGAATTTGAAGAGGCACGAATGGAGGGCGAAAGGGAGAAGCGTGCCAAGAGGAAGGCGCGTCAAGCCAACCGAGACCGAGACCGCCTTCCACCTGGAAACCAATGCCCTCACTGTGGAAGAAGATGCAGAGCAAGAATAGGGCTCCACAGCCACATACGGACCCACAAGAACAATGGAAGACAATCATCCTTGGAAAACGAGGGATCGCTTAAGTAAGTAAGTAAATAAGCATTTTGAAACCACATTAGCTGACACCCTATGAAAACAGAGTATCTATAGTTTGGTGAGGTGGCCAGAATTCTCTGCACGTGAACTCTAGTGCTGGAACTAGAGCTCTCAGGCATTTGAAGTAACCACCAAACTACAAATCCCACGATTACATACAATGACAGTGCCACTGATGTGAAAGAGCTCACTATAGGTATACCCACGATGAATCACTATCTCTTAAAGAAGAAACAAGGAACTTTTGGCCCTCTTGATGTTGTTGTACTCCCTTTCATCAATCACATTCAGTGTAATGAAAGGACCAAGGCATTGACATCTCCGACCCATCCTCTATTTGGGTATCAGCCAGCAAGCCAATGCCTTAAATCAAGAAACAGTTTCCTAAGATCTACAGAGATACTTGCAGGAACACCTCAGCAGCAAGAGCCCAAAAGTGGCAGGCTAAAACCCAGAAGCTCAATCAATGGATGATACCAGATAAGAGACGCCCTCCTGGGCACACAGAAAACTGGATGACTTGGAAGGCACTGAACAGACTGCGCTCTGGCACCATGAGATACAGAGCCAATCTTAGGAAATGGGGCTACAAAATGGAATCCACGACATGTGAGTGTGGAGAAGAGCAAATCACAGACCACCTACTACAAAGTAGTCTGAGCCCTGCCACATATACAATGGAGGACCTTTTCACAGCAACACCTGAGGCACTAAAGTAGTCAGCTTCTAATCAAAAGAAATCTAGCATAATGCCAAGTCTTTAACTTTGTTTGTGGGTTTAATACATTATAACTGTATTATCAATTTACTTCTGACACGATAAATAAATAAATAAGTGTAGCTACCAGACAGGAATTATGAAAACTATCATCATCACTGAGCTGGCTGCCTATTTTAAGGTCACAACATAACATAAGTAACGTAAGTTCAAGGCTTCACAACTCGAGCGAATATAAATGCTTCTACAACATTCCAAGTAAATACCGCATATTTTAATTGTGTCAGAAAACATTTACAGTTTACAGTTTATTGCTATTAGAAAATCTTAGGATTTTATGCTAATCTTATATCTCCTACTGTCAATTGCTGATACAGTATAAACCCCATATCCACTGGCAATACATTAAAAAAAATACTCCATGGATACCCGAAACCAAGGAAAGATTCAAACGATTGGCTTCCTGGACTGAGCCCTCTGAGTTATTATTAAACCCTATATTTTGACCATAAGTATGCAGAAACATATCATAGAAACCCACTGGAGGGACCAAGAGAGGATCATAAACACTTCTCAGGGGGTGGGATATTTTTGGAGCATGTGTAGGTGAAACCATGCATATAGAATCTATGGATAAGGGAGCCATACTGTATATGCAAAGAAGAGAATGATTTTGTGAGGAGAGAACAAAGCAACTTCAGAATTCTTTCAGACAGAGAAGGATGAGCCAATATAAAATATTACTGCAATTTTCTTAGTCTTCCCCATATGATTACTTTTTATGATTTTCCATTTTTGCCCAGTCTTTAACAACAGCATGTAACAGAACATGCTACATGACCAGAAGAAAAAATGTACCAACTTAAATTAAAGCTGTGCCAATTTAAGCATCATACCAAATTTCTGAAGACATGTAATTACTGTATAAGGTGAGAAGATACACTTCTATACTGGCAGTTTTTATGCTAAGTAGACATATAGTTTCTGACAATTATTTTTAGACAATTATGTTAAAAACTAAAGATTAAATTCTTACTGTAAGGTTCCTTGAGGATTGCAGGGGGCAACAGTTTAATAAAATAGTCAAGCGTGCACAGTAGTAACTGGAAGGAGATAACCAAGTCCTCTTCCATCTGCAGTATTTTTCCTAATAAAGTCAAATAAATTTGGTTTGGAGTGAAAATTTCTTTATTTAATACATAAAACATACATCACGTTCCACAAGCAGGAAAGCTATCCTACAAAAACAAAGTACCTTATGCTTCTTGGCAAACCACATAGAAAGTAACCTCTTACAGAATGAATACTGAGAAATCAGAAATATTTTCTACAGAACATGAGATTAATGAGCCTTTGAAGGAAAAATGTTTGACATCTTTGGATGCTTTCAAAACTGAGGAGTTTCTTGCCTCACAATCAACAACTATTTTCACTGTTCAGCACTCAAGGCTTCATCTGAGTGAATGCCCAGAGTAATCAGCAATCCTTGAGATAACTTGAACAAATGCAAATGCAAATGCAAATGCAAATGCAAATAATAATAATAATAATAATAATAATAATAATAATAATAATAAATCTTTATTTATATCCCGCCACCATCTCCCCCCAACGGGGACTCTGAGCGGCTTACATGGGACCAAGCCTGGACAACATATTACAACAAAAATAAAACCAAAACATAAGCAACAAGCAACAGCATCAAATTACATTAACAAAAAAAAACCCTCAAAAAACAAAAAACATATGAATGCAGTAACAAAATAACATACAATAACATAATAAGAATAAGAATAAGAATAAGAATAATATAGCATTAGCCAATTTATTTAAGCTACCCCTTTGGCATGATAATTCAATGCATCCTGGCAAAAAAAAAAAACCCTCTTCACTCAGCAACTATGTGCTATAGCCTAGCAAACTTCTTGAAACTGTAGGAACAAATGACAAAGATTTTAAATATCTTCCTCTGTTTTTTTTCTCAGCTAAAATACTAAAAGAGACCTTAATGTAATTGGTTAGGTATCATTCATTTTTTCTAAGGAAGAAAGCAATACTTGTTAAAGAGAAAGGAGTGTCTTCTCGAATTTCAAAATACGGATATGGCAAAGCAGCTATACATATTATCTCAAACCAAATGGACACATCTTAAGTATACCACTATTGTTACTGCTACTTACCTTTTGCCAAAAGAAACATGATCCAGCATAGTTTTAGAATTAATGGAGAATTTAGTTCTGCACAGGTTCTACAAATATGAAATAAAATACTGTAACATTTCACATTTGCTGCTTCAAAACAATTATAAAAGTGTACAGCTAAAGGTTACAACAAACTGTTTTGTCTGAGAATGAGATTGCAAGTAAAAATAAACACTTTAATCAGATTAACAGTTTGCTGTTTTGAACAAAAGAAGGTTATTAAATTTAAGGCAGCCTTTCAGAAGACCAAGCATTTAAGCCAATCAAGACACAGGTCTAGGTTAGGAACAAAATCTGTACATCTGGTAGCAACTACAATGGAGTCTTTTCCCACATACCATGATTTATGACTTGTCTCTTTAATGCATTTTCTTAACTTAAAAAGACCCAAGTTAATTGCCCTAGATTGAAGAAGCTGCTGTTTAATGCCAGGTGGAAAAACAAATGCCAATTTAGGATTTGATTCCAGAGCGTGTCCAGAGGAGGGTGACTAAAATGATCAAAGGTCTGGAAATCATGCCCTATGAAGAGTGGCTTAGAGATGGGAATTTTTAGACCGCAGAAAACATTATAGCCAGATATAAATATCTGAGAGGATGTCATAAGGAAGAGGAAGCAGGCTTGGTTTCTGCTGCCCTAGAAACTAGGACTCGGAGCAAAAGGTTCATATTACAGAAAAGGAGATATCATTGAATATTAGAAAGAACTTTCTGACTGTAAGAGCTGTTCAACCGTGGAACTCTCTGCCTCGGAATGTGGTAGAAGTTCCTTTATTGGAGGCTTTTAAAGAGAGGCTAGATAGCCATCTGTTTAAAAGATGGGTGCTCTGATGGTGCTTTTGTTGGACTGGATAGCCCATGTGGTCTCTTCCAACTCTACAATTCTATGATAATTCTTTTTTTTTTTTTAAGTTTTAGACTAAAGGCAGGGGAGATAATGAGAGCTCTTCCAGTAGGCAAAGTAGGGGAAATTAAACTGAGGGGAGAGAGTGAGAGTCTAAAGCTTCAACAGATTAAAATTGGGGGGCTCCTGCCTCAATTAGGTTGCTCAAAGTATTAATTCATATGTTGTGGATTACTCCTTCAGCCTATCCCAAACCAATGTTTCATGTAGATAGCATGAACAGTTGTTAAAGCCTTTGCAACAGGTCATTTCACAATTTGCGGGTGGCTGATGAAAAATTAATATCTGGTTAATAGTCGCCCCAGAAGAACTGGATGTGTGAATACAGCAGTATCCAATCTAGATGCCACATTTTGAACTAATTGAAGTGTCTGAACTTGGTACAGAGGTTGTCCAATGTACAGCACATTTCAAAACAGTCAAGTCTTGCTGTTACCAATGCCTGTATTTTCCACAGCTTAACCAACTCCCACCAGATCCTGAGGAAAGATAAAAATTTATTCCTTCTCCCAGTGGAAAGGAGCACGACCGAAAAAGAATCTGGTAGATTTGTTAGAGAATCGCCATGGGCCATATTCAAGAGACTGCTCACACATAGTTTAAAGCAGGGGTTCTCAAACTTTTTAAACAGAGGGCCAGGTCACAGTCCCTCAAACTGCTGGAGGGCCGGATTATAATTTGAAAAAAACATGAATGAATTCCTATGCACACTGCACATGTCTTATTTGTAGTGCCAAAAAACACTTGACAATACAATAATTAAAATGAAAAACAATTTTAACGAATATAAACTTATTAGTATTTCAATGGGAAATGTGGGCCTGTTTTTGGCTGATGAGATAGGATTTTTGTTCAGTGTATTGTCAAAGGCTTTCATGGCCAGAATGACTGGGTTGTTGTAGGTTTTTCGGGCTGTATGGCTATGTTCTAGAAGCATTCTTTCCTGACGTTTTGCTTGCATCTGTGTTAAGCATCCTCAGAGATTGTGAGGTTTGTCCCATCCTCTGAACCTTCCCCAACAATCTTAACCTCTGAAGTGGGTCACAACCTCACAACCTCTGAGGATGCTTGCCACAGATGCAGGCAAAACTTCAGGAGAGAATGCTTCTAGAGCATGACCATAACGCTCGAAAAACCTACAACAACCAGATTGTTGTTATTCTGTGCTTTCAAGTCGTTTCAGACTTAAGTTGACCCTAAGTGAGGGCCAAGTAAATGACCTTGGAGGGCCGTATCCGGCCCCCGGGCCTTCGTTTGAGGACCCCTGGTTTAAAGCCCCAACACAGCCCCACAAAGGACATGACACACATCAATTTCCATTTTGCCTACTTTCTATCCCACAACAATTACCCATTCTTTTTTATTTATGTAAGAAATCAGACTTACTGATCATTAGGCTGGTCAATATAGATGAGTTCACAAGTCCTAAAAACAAAAATAACATACTGCTTAATGTATTCATGTTATGTTAATCTTAGTTGTTTTGAATATGATTTTCGCTTGACCTACATGATTAGTTAACTAGCAGACAAAGAACTGCTGCCTTACAAAAATTATACAGCTGGAAGACGCCAGGGATATTTCAAATTATGTATAATTAATTCCTGCTCCAAAAAAGGCAGGATGGCAATCATTACTCTCCTTCCTCCATAATGGAGAGCATCAGGCCCAGCTGAAGCAGAAAGAGATGAGCACTGACAGAGGTGCATTTTAAGGGCTCTTCCACACAGTCCTATATCCCAGAATATCAAGGCAGAAAATCCCACTATATCTGCTTTGAACTGGGTTATCTGAGCCTGCATTCAGATGTGGGATTTTCTGCATTGGTATTCTGGGATATAGGGCTGTGTGGAAGGGACCTCAGTAACATAAAATCTTGCCTAGCCTAGACAGTGACAAAAATTAATCCATGAATAGGTGGCTGGCCCCTTGTCCACTGGCAAACCAAGCACAAATTCTTAACTTTTTGTGAATGTAACTGTCACAGTTGGGAAGCTTATTGGGAAGGAAAAAGAAATTATCTTTGTTCTACAGTGCAGAAGCATCCCTCACCTGTACCAATACAGTATTCTTATCTAATAAAATGTGGAGCCCCCCGTGGCGCAATGGATTAAACCCTTGTGCCAGCAGGAGTGCTGACTGATCTGTCAGAAGTTCAAATCCGGGGGAGAGCGGGTTGAGCTCCCTCCAGCTCCCAATGTGGGGACATGAGAGAAGCCTCCCATAAGGATGCTAAAATATCTGGGCGTCCCCTGAGCAACGTCTGTGCAGATGGCTAATTCTCTCATACCAGAAGCAACTTGCACTTTCTCAAATTGCTCCTGACACAAAAAAAACCTAATAAAGTTCCTTATTGCCCATGAGTACTAACACACAAGGCCAATTTATGAACTTCTCTTTTTTTAAATCCGTATTAGGTCTGCAGATGAGGTCTACATATAAAAATCATTTATTCTATAAAGACTTTAAAGCCTGTTTTAGCACACATACAGACCTGTTCTTTTGGTTTTCCCCAAATCTCCCCTTGACCTCACATTTATTTATACAAAATGATTAGGGCACATCTTACAGAAATCAAGAGGTAATATTTATGACATAAATATATGTGCATATATACTATTCTTTCAAATAGCATAGAATATTGTATGGAAGCTACTCAGAAAACATGATGCAATTTTAAGCAAAGTAGTTGTAACAACAATTCAAAACTATCATTTATAAGACTTTGCTTCTGAATTGTTCCACAACATTTAGGCAATGTTGTGCCAGTTTAATAAAGGTATCTTTGGGAAGCAGAACTATAAGTCTATATTTGTAGACCACCCTATCTCCTCGAAGGGACTCAGGGTGGTTTCCAACATATATGGCAATCATTCAAAGCCGAAAAGGGAAAACATACAAACAAACTGCAACAAAAACAAATCACATCCAGTAATACAAAGGCAACCTAACTTAAAAATAATAACAAATAAAAATAACCAAAGAATAAAAGTAACCAAAGATTTCACCCATAACCTCTAGACATAGGTTAAAAGGACTGAGCCTCTCAAAACAGAAAACAGGGTTAGTGAAGCCAAGATCTTAAAACCGTGGCAAAGCAAACAATGTAAATGTTAACATGCAAATAAGTAACAAATCAATACCTTTCAAACTTCTGGTATAGTGCTAAGAGCACATCGTATTTTTTCTTGAGGCGAGATACAGCACTATCCACTTTAGTACTAACGGTGTCCATATTGACATCTATTTCTTTAATCAAGTATACAAATTTGCACACACTGTAAGAAAAAGATTAGCAAAAATCATTTCTAAATAATTTCTAAACATAAAACTTATAAAATCAAATTTTGCATATTCCTCAAGACACAGAAAACTTTGTAACAATAGTCTACATCCAAAACTTTACATTTCTGGCTGAAGTTGCTAGTCAGATATAAAATGAACTTTCAAATATGTTTTAGTTTCATCAGAACAAAGAATGAAATGATTAAGTTCTTCTCTAGCTTTAATTAATTCATTCTTCAGTTCCTTTCTCAATTTCTCAGTTCTAATCCAAATACTTTTCCTGATGCAAGTACATAATTTTAATGTAGCCACGAATGTTGTATGTCATACTTTAAAATACTCAACTAATAGTTTGAGACTGTATTTAAAAACAACAACTCCTCACTGTCCAAGGAATACTTTCCAAAAGACCTTTTAAATTACAGGCTAAGCTTTTAATCTTTTAGTTCTTTTTATGATTATGACAACATAAATATTCTATTATTTCTCTCTTAGAGAGTTATGGGCTAGTTTAATCTCATTTCAGTGATTTCAAATACCATTTTTGATTTTGTTTCCTCTTTTTATAGTTGAGGATTTTTTATTGATATACCCATACTTAATCGCATAATAGTCATCATCATATAATAGTTGGGGGGCCCTTTCAGGGTAGACAAAACTGGTATTTTGCCATTCTCCATATAACAGTCGCCCCCTTCATTCACTCATCCACGTGAGTGAATTAAGAGAGTGACCTCTTCTTTAGTGCTATGGGGTTTGACTCAGCTGGGAGCCGCGTCAAACTCCACAAAGACAAGGAAAGGGGACAGGTGGGAGAGTTTGCTTGCCCACCTTTTCCTTCCAAGCTACCTGAAGACCCTTTGTATCTTAGAAGGAAAAGACTAGTGGGGAGGCCATTCCACCAAATGCTAATCAAACTTTCATTAAAGCACAGTCACAAGAGAAAAAAAAAACATTCACAACAAAATATTTGCGTATGTTAGTTTGTTATACAATTAATGCACTTTTATTTAACTGCATAGGTCTTTCTACAGCCAACTTACCTAATATTTAAACACTTGAGAAGATCTGTAAATGTAAATGTCATCTCATCCAAGTCAACTGCTGCTATAAAAATGCAGATCCCCCATAATACTTTACGATGGCCCTCCTAGGAAAAACAAATAGCAACTGTCACAAACTTGGGAAGTTAGAAATAGAGTAAATCAGTCAACATTTATCTAATTGAGAGAATTATCAAATAGCCAACTTAAAATGTATTTAGGTCACATTCTACTATCATTTCCCCCCAGTTACTTGTATTTAAGAAATAAAGAGATCAGTGCATTCTACATTCTACAAAACTCTGAGTGCATTTAAGCCACAGAATATTAAGATTTAAGCAAGCAACATGAGCCCATAACAGCTTACATCACACCAGTAATGATGAGTTAAAACATGTGTATCATTGGAACACCGATATTTTCCCATGCTGGTCCCCATAGATGGTTACCTACCTATATTATACAATGAAGTCCCCTAACTAATTCTGTTTATCAGTCTCTTCACTCAACCCACTCAAAGCAACAGAGGGCTTGGGTTCAAGGTCTCACATGTGAACCTTTTGTCAGCAAATATTTAGCTGGGTACTACAGAAAGAAAGGTAATAATTTCTGAAGAATGGCAAGAGAAAATAGGTATTCCAGCTTAGCGGTTTTCTAATCCATGTACCTAGAATCAAGGACACTCAGATATACCTAATATAGGCTGGAAAGATACAGGAATGTTTTTGTTGAAACCCACTTTAGACATACTTAATACAATATTTGGTGTCACAACTATTAACAATAAATCAAGAACTGTAAAATGTTCAGAATTAGCATAAATCACTGCTAATAGGTATCAAGGCATGTCAGAAACCAGGTTTCTCACAAAAGATGGGGTTTTTTGTGGTTGTTGTGTGTCAAAAAGGGCTTCCCCCTAGGCCAGGCTGACTGACTATAGAGAATTTCATTTCCTTGAAATGTCTCATGTTCTTTAAATTAACATTCTCCATTTATATATTTTTGTTTTCCACAGTCTCTTTGTGAAATTAAGCGATATTTATTGGTGATAGATTGGACAGTCTGGCCCAAGTACAAGAAAATTATAAACTTCATGTCCCTTTATGCCCAACTCATAAATTTTCAATGTGACGGCAACCTTAATAATCTCAACTAAGAAATCGTATTTATGAATGTATAGAATACTGAACAAAAGGAACCATCCATGAAACACATTAAACTTCCATTTTAAATAATGTGTCTGAGATAGAAATAATCTCTACACTAAAGCAGTTTAAGTCGCATAAACAGTGTTTATAATAAATTATATTAGAACGTGGTTAATCAGGTTATTATAATTACATTTTGAGGTTACTTTCTGGATTTGTCCATCTATCCCAGGCATCCTCAACCGTTAGTCCTCCAACTGTTTGAGCTTCCAACTCCCAGAAGCCCTAGCAGCTTGTTCAATGGTCAAGAATTCCAGGAATTGGAGGCCCAAACAGATGAGAGCCGCAGATTGAGGATACCTGATCTATCCCAAGGATTAAGAAGTAGAAAGAAAGACAGATGAAAGAATGTAGCAAGAACCACATAGGAACTAATTCAGAACAACTCATGAAGGAATTGAAACTGTGGAAGAAACTTGGCAATGACAACTAAATTATGAGTTACAGGACTTCATGGTATAACAAGGGTAGGCAACATCCAATTGGAGGCCTGCATGAGGGAAAAACTGCTCTTCCTGTGATATTTCTCCCTATTTTGGTGCAGATGTGCATACACATCTGCAGTCCCAATCCTCACACCACACAAACCTCAGGGTCAAATAAAGGTTTCAACACTAGCTGTACAGCACCTGACATATTCAAAATCCTATTCCAGATCATTTCATCCAGTCTTTTAGAAATTCAATAAAAGGGTTATTTTGCTACTTAAAGCCTTTAGAAAATAAAACATTTGTATTTACATTGCTCAGTAATATGATTCAGTAACTGAACTGCTTTAATAAATAAGAGAAATGATGGTAACATCACATGGTTTGAGATTTCTCACTGGATACTAGATCTCTCAAAAAGTGAGCAGCTGGTGTTGTTCTAGTTTTTGCTAGTCTGTAGTATTGTAGTTGAATCTCAAAACAGACTTAACATAACCTACATGCTCTGCTTTGGAGGAAAACAACTTGGGATGATCAAAACCATGGTAGGCATGATGAACAGTAAGACAAGATTAGTCTTTTGAGTATAGGCTCAGTGTGAGTTCTTCTATGTACTTGTATGATTAACTTTTCATTCATGTTTTATCATCTTATGAGTTGTTTTCTGAAGACAAAGCACTCTAAAATATCATAAACACTATTTTAAGTAGCACTTCTTCTAAGGACCGATGTATTACAATTTAGGAAGTTAAGAGGGGATGGAGAAACGTTCAACAAGCTCTGCAAGAAACCACAAGAGTCCTTCTCTTTGCTGTGGCTAAAAAGTATTGTTCGGTCTGTAAGGTGCATGCAGCAACTACCCGTCTTGGGGTATTTTTACGGAATCTGCTGGCAAAATTAACTAGAGTTAAGCAGTATGACTAATTTCTTATCATACTTTATATCCTGCCTTTCTTTCAAGCCAGCTTACAGCAGAAGTTCCAAATTTAGTATATTTACATAACAGTAACAAATGCATACTTCATTTTCTGTTGTTATTCATTAAGTATAAAATATACACACATCTCAGATATTTGCTCCCAATAGCTTTCGGGGTATATGTGATTCTAGTAAGTTAAAAAAGTAATGACAAAATTACAACCATTTTAGAAGTCCTTAATAGAACAATCTGAAGAGTTTATATATCCTAGAATTATCAGGCATGTGTCAAAAATCAAAATGTAAGACCAGTGTAATAGATTTAAAAACAAAAACAAAAACTGGAGAGCTCCTCTCCTCAGAACCAGTGGAATTAATTTCTGGAAAGAAAAGATAGCGGCCCCAAAGTCAAAACAACTTAAATTTTATTTGAGTACATTGAGAAGCCAGCAACTGTTTTTATTTGTTTTATTAAATGAAAACTAATCTAGTTTTTCTGCTGCCAGAATATTAAGAAGCTAGCCATATACTCACTGCAATTCCATTCACAGGCATTTTTTCAAAGGCTTCCCATGCAGTTATTCTCACGTTATCTGATACTTGAAAAACATCACATAAGGCAATGAAGTCGGTTTCAGCAAACAAAGGCCTGGCAAAGAGAAATATATTATTTATCAAACTGAAATAAATACAGCACTTCTTGAGAATATGTATTTATAATGAGCTATAGAAGGTCATAACTGTGAGAGAACAACAACTGTTAAGAGAAAGAAGCGTGGGGGGGGGGGGGAAAAACCAAAAAGCAAAGCAAATGAAAGACGAAACGCTGATAACGAGAATAGTTTTATATGATGTTTTATATGATGTGTTATGTACTGGTTGTTTGATTGTTTTAACTGTGATAACTGCTTTTAACTATGGTTTTGTATATTATGTGTAATTTGTATAGGCATCGAATTGTGCCTTTTTTGTAAGCCGCCCTGAGTCCTCCTTCGGGGGTTGAGAAGGGTGGGGTAAAAGTACCCGGAATAAATAAATAAATAAATAAATAAATGTCAGAAATACGGTAAACCAAAAAAACTATCCGTCAGTATCACCAACCCGAAATGTTTTAAAAGTTCTGTTTTACACAAATATTTTTAGTTGGTGACACACTCTTTAGAGATCCATCATTTCATGACACAAGACTTCAGTTATACTAGCAAACCAGAGATTAAGCCAGCCCTTTATAAGAGACTAGCTGTGCCCTGCCACGCGTTGCTGTGGCCTATAGTAAAACTTATCAAAGTTGAGGTAGATATCTGGACTATTATGAAAGAGAGGTACCTACCTATTCCTTCCCCCCCTTTTTCTTCCCCTTTCTCTCCTTTCGTCCTTCTCTACCTCTTTTTTTCCCTTCTTTCACTACTTGGTTTCATCCTTCTTTTTTTCCTTCATTCCCTCCCCCTTTCTTCCTTTGCCTTTCTTCCCTCCCTGATTGCTTCCTTCTTTCACTTTTTATTTCCTTTTATTTCACCACCATCATAACAATAACAATGATGCAATTCGTTGCCTCTGGGACCTGACACCTCTCCCATTCCCCCAGGGTCTCATAGGAATAATAGCATAATAATAATAGAAATAACAACCTTTACCCGCCACGCGTTGCTGTGGCCAACCTTCCCTCTTTCTCTCCTTCTTTCTCCTTCCTTCCTTCCCTCCCATCTTTCCTTCTCCTCTTCCTTCTCTATCTCTTTCCTTCCTTCCCCCCTTTTTCTTTCTCTTCTGGTCTCTTTTCTTCCTTCTCTCTTTCCTTCTTTCCTTCCCTCCCTCTTTCTCTACATCTTCCCCTTCCTTCACTCCCTCTTTCCTTCCTTCATTCCCTTTTTTCTTTCCTTCTCTCCTTCCTTCCTTCCTCCCCTTTTTCTTTCTCTTCTGGTCTCTTTTCTTCCTTCTCTCTTTCTTTCTTTCCTTTCCTCCCTCTTTCTCTACATCTTCCCCTCCTTCACTCCCTCTTTCCTTCTTCATTCCCTTTTTCTTTCCTTCTCTCCCTTCCTTCCTTCCCCCTTTTTCTTCTCTCTCTGTCTCTCTTTTCTTTCTCTTCCTCTTTCCTTTTTTCCTTTTTCTCTTCCTTCTCTCTCTAACTTTCCTTCCTTTCCCCTTTTTCTTTACCTCCCTTTCTCTTTCTTCCTTCTTTCCTTCCTTCCTGTCTTTCCTGGATTTTTACAGGGCGGGAAGGGGGGGGGGTTTGGAGGTGGCGTGAAGTAAAAGGAGGTAAGATTGGGGCAGGGGAGTGATGGAGCGTGGGGTTGTGTGTGTGTGCGGCGGAGGGAGTGATGCAGCGTGGGGTTGCGTGTGTGTGTGCGGCGACGGGGGGGTGATGGAGCATGGGGTTGCGGCGGGGGGAGTGATGGAGCGTGGGGTTGTGTGTGTGTGTGCGGCGGGGGGGAGTGGGGTCGCGTGTGTGTGGCGGTGGGGGGAGTGATGGAGCGTGGGGTTGTGTGTGTGTGTGTGTGCGGCAGGGGGGGAGTGGGGTTGCGCGTGTGTGTGTGCAGCGGGGGGAGTGATGGAGCGTGGGGTTGCGTGTGTGTGTGCGGCGGGGGAGTGATGGAGCGTGGGGTAGTGTGTGTGTGTGGGGCAGGGGGGGGTGTGTGCGGGAAGCAGCGCGGCGGGGCTTGGAGTGGGCATGGCTTCCGCAGAGGGAACTGTGTGCGCGCGCCAGGGAACTTGCGGCTGGCCACCAATGCGCATGCTCAGTTGTTTTGCCGTTTTGTGAGTGTGTTGTTGTGTTGTTTTTCATTTTGAGTAGATATGTTTGTACCTTGTGGGTTGTGTTATGGGCATGGGAATTTTGGTTAAGTTTCGTTGGGGGGTTTGTGATTTTTGTTGTTTTGCCGTTTTGTGAGTGTGTTGTTGTGTTGTTTTTCATTTTGAGTAGATATGTTTGTACCTTGTGGGTTGTGTTATGGGCATGGGAATTTTGGTTAAGTTTCGTTGGGTTTTTTTTAGTTTTGTTGTTTTGCCGTTTTGTGAGTGTGTTGTTGTGTTGTTTTTCATTTTGAGTAGATATGTTTGTACCTTGTGGGTTGTGTTATGGGCATGGGAATTTTGGTTAAGTTTCGTTGGTTTTTTGAGTTTTGTTTGTTGTTTTGCCGTTTTGTGAGTGTGTTGTTGTGTTGTTTTTCATTTTGAGTAGATATGTTTGTACCTTGTGGGTTGTGTTATGGGCATGGGAATTTTGGTTAAGTTTCGTTGTTTTTTTTAGTTTTGTTGTTTTGCCGTTTTGTTAGTGTGTTGTTGTGTTGTTTTTCATTTTGAGTAGATATGTTTGTACCTTGTGGGTTGTGTTATGGGCATGGCAATTTTGGTTAAGTTTCGTTGGGTTTTTTTGAGTTTTGTTGTTTTGCCGTTTTGTGAGTGTGTTGTTGTGTTGTTTTTCATTTTGAGTAGATATGTTTGTACCTTGTGGGTTGTGTTATGGGCATGGGAATTTTGGTTAAGTTTCATTGGGTTTTTTGAGTTTTGTTGTTTTGCCGTTTTGTGAGTGTGTTGTTGTGTTGTTTTTCATTTTGAGTAGATATGTTTGTACCTTGTGGGTTGTGTTATGGGCATGGCAATTTTGGTTAAGTTTCGTTGGGGGGTTGTGGAGTTTTGCTGTCCGGTTGAACCAACCTAACAGATTTATATATATAGATATTAGGCCTGGGCAATGCATGGTTCTAAATGGTTCTAAAGTACTTACAAAACTAAAGTTCTGGCAGTGAAAATTTCAGAACTCTAACAAAACTTTCAAAATTTAATTATTATTTCATTATTGGCGATTTTTATGACAGAACCAATTAGGAACTGCCATTTATAATGAAATTTTGAGAGTTTTGTTAGAGTTTTGAATTTTTCACCACCAGAAGTTTAGTTTTGTAAGTACTTTAGAACCATGCATTGGCCAGGCCTAATAGATATATAATATTGTAATATGGAATGTATGTGGTCACAATATATCTCATGAAACTCTTTAATTTATATATTTAAAAATAAATGTTTTGTAAAATAGCATACGTGCACATTTCCAAAATGGTTTATATTTTTCGAAATATTTGTGCAACACACCTAGAGCGGTTGCAGTTTGCTATTGTGTGTCTTCAAATCATTTCTTACAGTAACTTTAAGGTGAACCTATGAGAAAATTTTTCTGGGGCTGAGAGTATGTGACATCCCTGGAGTGACCTAGTGAGTTTCTGCAGCCAAGCAGGGAAACAAACACTGGCTTCTGGAGTTGGTTACATCAAGCTGGATCACTGAAGTTTACCTGGCTTTATTCAGTACAAATCAATCTGCACTCACTGAATGCAAAAACCATAGGAACCAGTCAGTACAAACGCTACACACAAACACAGTTACAGATTATGGAAAGAAAAAGAGGTAACTGAAAAGTTGGGTAAATCACAGACAACAACTGAAAAGTTAAGAATCCTCATACAAACAATCACAAAGAAAAAAAGATTCCTAAAAATGGGGGGAAAACTGTAGCTATAAAAAATTCCCAATCCCCTACTGGTGTGATTTCGGCAAAGCCATCAGCCATCCAATTTATTTGTTATCATCATTATTATTTGCTGCCATCCATTTGTTTCACATTAAATCTAACTCCCCTGCCCCCCCCCCCAAAACCCACTTTATAATGACAGAATTGTCTTAGTAGGAATAGGAATACAACACTTTGCAAAAAAAAATCAACATACAATTCATCCACCCTTAGTAATCAATGCCAGATCAGCTGTCTCATTCATGATTAGATCATGAATAAGGAAGTCTAACTGTGAAAATGACTGGTATCTGCACACCCTTTGGTAATGTCATGCGCTGGGTGCACTTGCATTGCCCTCTCTCCTACAATCTCACTTTCTTCAGGCACAAGTAGCTGAGAGATGTGCAGGACAGGATCACAGAGAAGCATTTGCCACATTGTAAGAGCATCTCCATAAAGAACTCAAGGGGACAGATGGCTGAGAGCTATACTTCTCCATGCTACTTTAGACAAAAAATAAACAATGCCAAGACTGCTATATACACTTAATTTGTCGCACCTCCAGCAGAATCTCTGAAGATGCCGTCCACAGATGCAGATGAAATGTCAGGAGAGAATGATACAGGAACATGGCCATACAGCCCAAAAAAATCACAGCAACCCAATACCAGTAAGGAATTGTAACAGGGACACTTGCGAAGAGCAAGTTATGCACACTCAGCAAATTCCTTTATTACACAGAAAACACCAGGGTGTTTTAAAAAGAGGGGCCTGATTTGAAATTGCAGTATCTCTGCAACCACACAGCGCCCTGACCATATTTGAAAGGGTGAGGCATTGAGTTTCAAAAGATTACAGGACAAATAACACACCTCACTGCTGAGCAAGATGGCAATGTCAGAAACAAATAATGTGGTCCCCTAAAAGGTTAAGAAAAAACAGGAAATGTGCCTTTTAGCATTATTCAGAAAGAATACTAATGTAGGGATGAAGAAATTTACCAATATAGTTTTGGGTTGCTGTGAGTTTTCAGGGTTGTTTGGCATGTTCCAGAAGCATTCTCTACTGATGTTTCGCCCAAATCTATGGCAGGCATCCTCAAAGGTTGTGAGCTCTGCTGGAAACTAGGCAAGTAAGATTTATATATATGTAGAATGTCCAGGGTGGGAGAAAGAACTCTTGCCTGTTTGGGCCAAATGTGAATGTTGCAACTGGCCACTTTGATTAGCACTGAATGGCTTTGCAGCTTCAAAGCCTGGCTGCTTCCTGCCTGGGGGGAATCCTTTGTTGAATGGTGTCAACTGGCTTTTTATTTTTATTTACTGTCCACACTCAACAACACTCAGAAAACAGGAATTCGAGGCATGAAACAATCCAGGCCAGCTAGCATCTCCCAACAAAGGAGTCCCCCAGGTAGGAAGGAGTCAGGCTTTGAAGCTGCAATGCCATTCAATGCTAATCAAGGTGGCCAATTGCAACATTCACACTAGCCTCAGACAATGGTTCTTTCTCCCACCCTGGGCATTCCACAGATATATAAACCTTACTTGCCTAGTTTCTAACAGATCTCACAACCTCTGAGGATGCCTGTCCTACATGTGGGGAAAACATCAGGAGAGAATGCTTCTGGAACATGGGCATACAGCCCGGAAAACTCACAGAAATTCCAGGCATGAAAGTGTTGGACAGCGCAATACAGCTTTGTTGCAGCAGGACTAGCAATAACAAAATCTTAGAAGGGAGAAAAAGAGTTCACTATTAAAGATTGGAGAGAGAAAGTACTAGAGTATGTCCAAAAGGCCAAGTGAACTAGTAGTAATAAAGGAGAGGAAATAGGAAGAATCTATATAAATAAAAATGTAATGTTTGTTTGTGGGATTAATATAACTCAAAAACCACTGTACGAATTGCCGCCAAATTTGGCCACAAGACACCTACTAACCCAAGGAGTAACCATCACTCAAAATTTGTTTTTGTCATTGGTGAGTTGTAGTTGCCGGGATTTATAGTTCACCTACAATCAAAGAGCATTCTGAACCCCACCAGCGATGGAATTGAACCAAACGTGGCACACAGAAGTCCTATGACCAACAGAAAATGCTCGAAGAGTTTGGTGGGCATTGACCTTGAGTTTGGGAGTTGTAGTTCACCTACATCCAGAGAGCACTGTGGACTCAAACAATGATGGATCTGGACCAAACTTTCCACAAATACACAATCTGCCAAAATGTCCACGCTGATGGAGTTTGGGAAAAATAGACCTTGACATTTGAAAGTTGTAGTTACTGGGATTTATAGTTCACCTACAATCAAAGAGCATTCTGAACCCCACCAACAACAGAATTGGGGCAAACTTCCCACACTGAACCCTCATGACCAAAAGAAAATACTTAAGGCCATCCAGCCCAACTCCCTTCACCAGGGCAAGAAAACGTAATCAAAGCCCTCCTGACAAAGAGCCATCCAGCCATAGATATAGCTAGATATATATGATTCACACACAGAGAGATATAGTATCATAGAGTTGAAAAGGACCCCTAAAAAAGGACATGTTGCATGTTCCAGAGTAAGCAAACCAGACCATCTTTACATCAACACTCACAAAGAAACTGCAAGAAATACTGTTTACCCACAAGCATAAAGGAATTACATATATTAGAATCCAACACTTTCTCGTTACTTTTAGTTTTCCAGATCACCAGACTGGGCCACAGCAATGCGTGGCAGGGGACAGCTCCTCTATATAAATAAAAATGTAATGTTCGTTTGTGGGATTAACAGAACTCAAAAACCACTGGACGAATTGACACCAAATTTGGACACAAGACACCTAACAAACCAATGTATGTCCTTCACTCAAAATTTGTTTTTGTCATTTGGGAGTTGTAGTTGCTGGGATTTATAGTTCTCCAACAATAAAAGAGCATTCTGAACCCCACCAACAATGGAATTGAACCAAACTTGGCACACAGTTCTCCCATGACCCACAGAAAATACTGGAAGGGTTTAGTGGGCAGTGTCCTTTGGTTTTGGGAGTTGTAGTTCACCTACATCCAGAGATCGCTGTGGACTTAAACAATGATGGATATGGTTCAAACTCTACACGAATACTCAATATGCCCAAATATGAACACTGGTGGAGTTTGGAGAAAATAGAATCTTGACATTTGGGAGTTGTAGTTGCTGGGATTTATAGTTCACCTACAATCACTGAGCATTCTGAACCGCACCAACGACAGAATTGGGACAAACTTCCCACACAGAACCCCCATATTATTAAGGCCATCCAGTCCAACTCCCTTCACCAGGGCAAGAAAACGTAATCAAACGTAATCATGACAAAGAGCCATCCAGCCTTAGATATAGATAGATATATATGATTCACACAGAGAGAGATACAGTATCATAGAGTTGAAGAGGACCTCTAAAGAAGGACAATTTGCATGTTGCATGTTCCAGACAATCTCCACATCAACATTGACAAAGAAACACTGTTTACTCACAAGCATAAAAATTACATATATTAGAATCCAACACTTTCTCATTACTTTGTTTTCCAGATCACCAGACTGGGCCACAGCAACGCCTGGCAGGGGACGGCTAGTTTGTAAATAAACGGAGGCTGGCATTTGGAAAGGAAGACAAAGTTGATTTGAAAGTAGCCACAAAGGGAACTTCTTAAGACAAGATGGCAATGGCAGCGACTGTCAAAAGGGAACTTCAGATCTGGATCTTTTCCAAAAATAGCAGCAGCAGAGCGACAACTCCATGCCGTTTGAAACTTTTCCTGTCATTGTAACACAGGCATGGGCCAACTCCGGCCCTCCTAGTGTTTTGGACTTCAACTCCCACAATTCCTAACAGCCGCTAGCGGCTGTTAGGAATTGTGGGAGTTGAAGTCCAAAACACCAGGAGGGCCGGAGTTGGCCCATGCCTGTTGTAAGGTCTTTGAGGAGAAGACCCCTTCCCCTCCTACTAGGGCTTCTCTTGGAATGAACAAAAGCCCAATGGGGTGGCAGCCGCTCTCCTTCTATGGGGGAAAAGGCCAAAAGAGAGGGGGACGGAGGGCACTGACCTGGCTGTGGCCGCGGGCTCCGGCTCCGCCTTCCTCGGGGGCCTCGTGGGCGCCATTTTGGGCGCCTCCAAGCCCCTCCGCGGCGGCGCCCCCTCCCTCTCCTGCGCGCGACGCCCAGCAACCAACCGGCAGCAGGCCTCGCGAACCGCGGGAAAGGGCCTCGCGCCCGCCGCAGACGTCACTTCCTGCTCTGGAGGGCGCGCGGAGCTTCCCTTCACTGGTGGCCAAGAGAGGAGAGAAGCAGGTGCTGAAGGCGGGTTTGGTTTGGACTTTTCATAGTTCCCCCTCCCACCTGGACAGAAGTGTCAAGCTGCATATCCTATCAGTATAAGCAAACCTTTTTTTGTTTTTTGCCCTCCCATTTTCTCACAGTGTTCCCAATGGCAAGGGTGTTGTCCAATTCCATTACGTTTTCAAGGGCAGCCCCATGTAGAGCGCATTACAGTAGTCCAATCTGGAGGTGACTAAGGCATGGACCACCCTGGCCAGATCCGCCTTCCCGAGGTACGGTAGTTGGCTACAAAACCCTATACGGTTCCGGCCCAGTGTATCTGTCCGAACGGATCTCCCTCTACATCCCACTCCAGAGTCTAAGATCTTCTGGGGAGGCCCTGCTCTCGACCCCGCCTCTATCACAAGTGAGATTGGCGGGGACGAGGAGCAGGGCCTTCTCGGTGGTGGCCCCCCACCTGTGGAATTCACTCCCCGGGGAAATTAGATCTGCAACATCGCTCCTTTCCTTTAGGAAAAAACTGAAAACATGGATTTGGGACCAGGCATTCGGATAATCGGGCAGATAAAGAAAGGACTTGACAATGATTAGGAAATGATTAATGGAATAGAACTATGGAACTCTGAAAGACGAAGCGCTGAGCATGAGAATAGTTTTTTTATAGTTTTTATATATGACATGTTATGTACTGATTGTTTTTTTAAATAATTTTTATTGAATTGTCACAATTATTACATTCATTATACATTTGTTATTACTATTGCGTTTTTGTACAGCAATCTCTTTAACATGTTGTTTTATTATTTTGCTTTAACAGTTTCCCCTTTTTTTTATTTCACCAATGTGCTCCCCTCCACCCGTCTCAAGCCACAATTCTTACATATCATCTGTCCAAAATCTCATTTCTTCTTGTGATGGTAATTTTCCTTCCTTGTTTTTTAAACCATTTACCACAAATCTTCCCCATACAGCATCAAAATCACTTTGTTTCCATATACCTTTTTTAACCTTTAATATACATGTCAGTTTATCATTTAAAGCTATTTTCCATGCTTCCTTATACCACTCCTCTATTTGTATATTCATTTCTTTTTTCCAATTCCTTGCTATGAGCAGTCTTGCTATAGTTAGTAAGTTTGTTATCGCTTCTTTATCCTCTTTTTTCAATTGCTTATTGTTATATAATGATAGTAAGGCTATACTAGGACTTTTATCTATTTTCATATTCATTATATCTTCTATTTCTCTACTTTCTCCCAAAAATTATTTAGATATTTACATTGCCACCACATGTGTATATATGTTCCTGGTTCTTGACACCCTCTCCAACAATTTATTGAGTTATTTTTATTCATATATGCTATTCTTACTGGTGTCAAATACCACTTCCATATTAACTTATAATAATTTTCTTTAACCCGTATCGATAAGTTTTTTAAATGTCTTTGTCCCCATAACTGTTGCCACTCTGTATCACTTATTTTCATCCCTAAATCTTCTTCCCAAATCTCCTTAAGGGTACACTTTTTTATTTTTTCATCCTTCATTTCAATTAATATCTTATAAATTTTACTCATTATACCTCTCAAGTACTGATTGTTTTTATTGTTTTTAACTGCGATAATTGTTTTAGCCATGGTTTTGTATATTATGTGTAATTTGTATAGGCATCAAATTGTGCCTTCTTTGTAACCCTGAGTCCCCCCTCGGGGGTTGAGAAGGGCGGGGTAAAAGTAACCGAAATAAATAAATAATAAATAAAGGCCCTCCCGGCCACCGCCAACGCCTGAGCTTCAAGCATAAGTGATGAGTCCAGGAGGACACCCAAACTGCGGACCTGTGACTTCAGGGGGAGTGTAACCCCGTCCAGCACAGGTTGCCACCCTATACCCCAATCCGGTTTACGATCTACCAGGAGGACCTCTGTCTTGTCTGGATTAATCTTCAGCTTGTTCTTCCTCATCCTGGATTCACAGCTGACAATGGAAGCTCAGGTCGCTGCTGCCAGCAAACAGGCCTTTTTCCATCTACGACAAGCGAGGCAACTGGCACCCTACCTATCTGACGAGGCTCTGGCAACTGTCATCCATGCCACGGTCACGTCTAGGCTGGACTATTGCAATGCCCTGTATGTGGGCCTTCCGATGTCTACGACCCGAAAGCTTCGTATTGTTCAGAATGCGGCAGCCAGGTTACTCACAAGAACGCCCATGAAATGCCATATAACACCAGTGCTGCAACATTTACATTGGCTTCCAACTGAGTACCGTGGCCTGTATAAGATGCTAGTTCTGACCTTTAAAATTCTTTACGGCCAGGGTCCATCGTACCTTAGGGACCGCCTCTCCTTCTCCCATCATCGGAGGTCGCAACGACCAGCCCAACGTGACTTACTCCATATACCGGGTCCTAGAGAAGTGCACTTGGAAAGGACCAGACGCAGGGCTTTTTCTATTTCTGCCCCTGCCTTGTGGAATTCCTTGCCGCCCTACATGAGAGCCATGCGTGACTTAGGGCCTTTTATTCTCGCACTTAAGACCTGGCTTTTTACTAGAGCATTCGATCTCTGTTAATTTTTAATTTTTGTATGTATGTATTTTATCTTTTATAATTTAGCTGTAAATTGCCTAGAGCATTCTCGGATGGAGGGCGATTAATAAGTTATTAAATGATGATGATGATGATGATGATGATGATGATGATGATGATGATCCAGACAGCCACAGCGGCCAGGCACTCGTCCAGCACCCAAGGGGCTTCCTTGGAGTTTGTGGAAAAGAGTAGTAGAGTTGCGTGTCATTTGCGTAGAAATGGCACCCAACTCCAAAACTCCGGATGACCTCTCCCATCAGTTTCATGTAGATGTTAAAAAGTATGGGAGACAGAATGGACCCCACAGGTCAAAGGCCAGGGGTCCGAGCAGGCATCTCCCAGCTTCACCATCTGGGATCGACCCTCCAGGAAGGACCGGAGCCATCGACAAAGCCGTGCCTCCAAGGCCCATCCCGGAGAGTCGTCCCAGAAGGATACCATGATCGATGGTATCGAAAGCCGCTGAGATGTCCAAGAGAACCAGCAGGGTCACACTCCCCATGTCCAGCTCTCTGCAGAGGTCATCCATCAAGGCGACCAAAGCCATCTTGGTGCCGTGGCCAGGCCTGAAACCAGACTGTGACTGATCCAGATAGTTGATGTCATCCAAGAAACCCTGGAGCTGAGAGGCGACCACCCGCTCCAACACCTTGCCCAACAAAGGAAGGTTGGAGATTGGTCTATAATTGTTCAAGACGGTGGAGTCAAGGGAGGTCTTTTTCAGGAGTGGTCTGACCACAGCCTGTTTTAGGCCAGATGGAAAAATCCCTTGCTCCAACGATACATTAATGATCAACATAAACCAATCAATCAAACCACCTTTGGCCGATTTAATTAGCCAAGACGGGCAGGGGTCTAGAGCCGATGTGGTCGCCCTCTCAACCCCAAGGGCCCCCTCCACATCCTCAGGGTGAACAAGCCGAAAGGAATCTCACAAAACCAGACAAAAAGATGTCTCGGTCACCCCGCTGCCTCCAGATAATCCTGCAAATCTCTTGGGAAGACAAGCGGACAAATGTCAGCGTGCTGGAAGAAGCAAAGACCACCAGCATTGAAGCAATGGTCCTCTGCCATCAGCTCCGCTGGACGGGCCACGTTGTCCAGATGCCCGACCACCATCTCCCAAAGCAGTTACTCTACTCCGGACTCAAGAATGGAAAACTGAATGTTGGTGGACAGGAAAAGAGATTTAAAGACGGGTTCAAAGCCAACCTTTAAAACTCTGACATAGACACTGAGAACTGGGAAGCCCTGGCCCTTGAGTGCTCCAGTTGGAGGTCAGCTGTGACCAGCAGTGCTGCAGAATTTGAAGAGGCACGAATGGAGGGCGAAAGAGAGAAACATGCCAAGAGGAAGGCACATCAAGCCAACCCTGTCCAGGACTGCCTTCCTCCTGGAAACTGATGTCCTCACTGTGGAAAAACATGTGGGTCAAGAATAGGCCTCTACCACCACCTACGAATCCACCGCCAAGACCCTACACTTGGAAGGCCATTGCACTCAGACAACGAGGGATTGCTTAGTAAGTGCAAGAGACTGCTGTCAGTTAGGCAATGAAACAAGACGGGAAACTTGGTGGTTCCCATCCCAGCTGTTTTTCAGTTGTAAACTTGGGTGTAAAGTGTGATAAGAGGTGGGAACTCTGAACATGATTGAAGACTCGTGTTCAGAGTTCCTCCTTTCAAGACACTTGTACCTCTTTTCAACCACTGAGGGCTATGCATGTCAGACTGCTGCAAAATTTATTCTTGAGATTAGTAACGTTTAAGTATGTTTTCCTTTTTATCTGTGACTTCTTGTTGTATGGGCCTGTGTTGTGATTTTGTTGTTGTATTCCAATAAAGGCTGTATGTGTGATTTTGCCATTGTATATCCTGATTTCGTGATCCAGTGGGGTCCTGGAACCAAATCCCAGTGGATACCGAGGGTCCACTGTACTCCGTCTCACTGCTTATTAAACTGGGTCCTGACCTCAAATGGGATCCCCCTAAAGACACAGGTTCACAGCTTGGGAGTGATCCTGAACTAGTTGCCGAGCCTGATTAGTGCTCAGTACATGTTCAATTTTATACCTATTTCATATACCCTACATACCTAGGGTCATGTCAAGCATTGTTGAAAAGGTTTAAGAAGCCCTGCACTGTCCTGTTTAGATGTCCCCTCCCATCTGCCAAAGGAAGAACATTCACTATTATCCAGAGAAATATCTTTCTCATCTTGGTATCTGACAAACTTGCCAGGTACTTTTGAAATGACAATCATGGAGGAATGAAAGAAGCATAAAAAGTATTAGATTCACCAATCTGAATGGTGGAAATCCCATCGCTGTCTCCTTTATTTATTTATTTATTTATTTATTTTATACGCTTGTATACCGCTAATATCTCAGCCTAAGTCGGCGACTCATTGCGGTTTACAACAATTAAAAAACAGTCTTCAATTTAAAACATAAAACACATATACAATACAAATTATTGGGCCACCAATAATAATCCCATGCATCTCGTAACTAAAATCACAATCCAAAATTCGTCGTCCATGATTACCAGTCCTTTAGTCATCAAAATTCGTTGCAACGGATTAACCGAATGCTTGTTTAAACATCCATGTCTTCAATCTCTTCCGAAACACCATCAGCGAGGAGGCTGATCGTACCTCTATAGGGAGGGTGTTCCAAAGCCGAGTTAATGTGGGATTTTATTCAGCTGTGTGTCTATGGTTCCAAAGCCGAGGGGCCACCACAGAAAAGGCCCTGTCTCTCGTTCCCGCCAGCCGCACGTGTGAAGCCGGCGGGATAGAGAGCAGGGACTCCCCAGAAGACCTTAGGGTCCTGGTGGGCTGATAGGCTGAGATACGTTCGGATAGATAAGTTGGGCCAGAACCGTTTAGGGCTTTAAAGGCCAACGCCAGCACTTTGAATTGAGCCCGGTAGCAGATCGGCAGCCAGTGGAGCTGGTGCAGCAGAGGAGTTGTATGCTCCCTGCGCCCGCTCCTGTTAGAATCATGGCTGCCGCGTTGGACTAATTGGAGCTTCCGGGCTGTCTTCAAAGGCAACCCCACGTAGAGAGCGTTGCAGTAGTCAAGACGGGATGTAACCAGAGCGTGGACTACCGTGGCCAAGTCAGACTTCCCAAGGTACGGTCGCAGTTGGCGCACAAGTTTTAACTGTGCGAATGCTCCCCTGGTCACCGCCGAAACCTGGGGTTCCAGGCTCAGCGATGAGTCCAGGATCACACCCAAACTGCGAACCTGTGTCTTCAGGGGGAGTGCGACCCCGTCTAACACAGGCTGTAACCCTATACCCTGTTCGGCCTTGCGACTAACCAGGAGTACCTCTGTCTTGTCTGGATTCAATTTCAATTTGTTCGCCCCCATCCAGACCGTCACAGCGGCCAAGCACCGGTTCAGGACCTCGACAGCCTCCTTAGTAGCAGGTGGAAAGGAGTGACAGAGTTGGACATCATCTGCGTACAGATGACATCGCACTCCGAAACTCCGGATGATCTCGCCCAGCGGCTTCATGTAGATGTTAAACAACATGGGAGACAGTATTGAACCCTGAGGAACCCCACAAGACAAAGGTTGTGGGGTTGAACAGGAGTCTCCCAGTAACACCTTCTGAGACCGACCCTCGAGGAATGAGCGGAGCCACTGCAGAACAGTACCTCAAGACCCATCCCCGCGAGGCGTCCCAGAAGGATACCGTGGTCGACGGTATCGAAGGCCGCTGAGAGGTCGAGCAGCACCAACAGGGACACACTACCCCTGTCGAGCTCCCGACGCAGATCATCCACTAAGGCGACCAAGGCTGTCTCGGTACCATGCCCCGGCCTAAAGCCAGACTGTGCCGGATCCAGATAATCCGTGTCTACCAAGAATGCCTTGAGCTTCTGCACTCGGATTAGTTTAGCTCTATCATATCTTAGACCCATAGAATCATGAGTTGGAAGAGACCGCAAGGGCCATCTCGTCCAACCTCATTCTGCCATGCAGGAACACACAAAGCAGTCTCAGCAGATGGGCTTTCAGCCTCTATTTAGAATTATAGTATCATAGAGTTGGAAGAGACCGCATGGGCCATCGTCAAACTCCACGCCATGCAGGAAAAGCACGATCAAAGCAGCCCCGACATATTGCCTCCACAGGATTCCCCCAGGCAGGAAGCAGCCAGGCTTTGAAGCTGCAAGGCTATTCGGTGCTAATCAAGGTGACCAATTGCAACATTCACACTTACCTCCAAAAGACAAGATTTATACTCATAACCATAGAGCTGGAAGAGACCTCATGGGCCATCCAGTCCAACCCTCTGCCAAGCAGGAAAATAGCATTCAAAGCACCCCCAACAGATGGCCATCCACCTTCTGTTTTAAAACTTCCAAAGAAGGAGCCTCCACCAGACTCAGAGGCAGAGAGTTCCACTGTTGAACAGCTCTTAACAGTCAGGAAGTTCTTCCTAATGTTCAGGTGGAATCTCCTTTCCTGCAATTTGAGCCCATTCCTCCATTGAGTCCTAGTTTCCAGGGCAGCAGAAAACAAGCCTGCTCCCTCTTCCTTATGGCATTCTTACACATCTTTATACATGGCTACTAGCCGCCCCCTGCCACACGTTGCTGTGGCCATTTGTGTGCTTTGTGTGTATATATGTGTGTTTGCACGTATGTATATATGTGTGTGTGGTTTGCGCATGCGCTGTAGCATCTTTTTGGCTTTTTTAGTCCCTTCCGCTGTGTTTCAGTGTTTTTATGAGTGATGGTCACTCATTGGCCTGATAGGTGTATTGTGTCCAAATTTGATGTCAATTCGTCCAGTGGTTTTTCAGTTATGTTAACCCCACGAACGAACATTACATTTTTATTTATATAGATTATGTCTATTCTCAACCTTCTCTTTGGCAGGTTAAACATCCCTGGCTCTTTAAGTCACTCCTCATAGGGATTCATGGTCTCCAGACCTTTGATCCTTTTAGTCGCCCTCCTCTGAACACCTTCTAGCTTGTCAATATCTCTTTTGACAGAAACGCAAACAATCCCACCAAAGCAGGTAATAGCTCTGTTTTTCATCCATGGACCTGAGTCCAGGTTCTCCAATACAAACAAAATGTATTCTGAAATCTGCTACAAATAGTAAGACTTTTTAAAAATGTATTAGTGGAAGTGGTATCATGGGAATATTCAATCATGATGGTGAAAGAGATACAGAATCCAACAGATACATGACTTTATTTTTTTATTTAAAATTGTATTATTTGCTTCAACTAATAGCCATATGACATATTTTATAACATCTAATCTCAATTCTAATCTAAAATATTATTAAGGTTAAAATTCAGTAGTCCTATGGTAAGCATCCTAGAGAAATTCGCCATGTAAAAGAAAATGTGAAAAGAAAATGGACAAACTTTTAGACAAACAGGTTTGTAATATTTATTTTCCATTGCACATACATAGCTTATATACATCTCAATAACACAAAGTTACTGCTCAATTTTGTTACAGCAGACACCTATATTAGAACAGCCGTTTGGAAATCAAATGTAAAAGTAATTGCATTAAAAAAAATAAGAAATTGCACTTTTATTATAAATCATTTTCTGAATATGCTGTAATCAACCACATCACTAGTAATATGCTGCTAAAAATCTAAAGTGTCGTCTGTTTATTTATTTTTTTAAATCAGAAGATATTATTCTATCAAATTTTATTTTAAGATGAGATGCACTATTGACCTGGTATTTTTTCTAGGTCCGTTTCTTGTAATGCACTAACTAAGATTTTATACAGCTGCTATTCAAACATATAAAAAGGACACTATACTTCAAAATATGAAAAAGAGGGTGTGTCTTAAGATGAAAAATGTTGAGGTTCAGCCATATAGCCTTGTCTACTACTTCTATAAATGATTTAAAATCAAAATCACTGCACATAATATAAAGAGTAAGATCAATGTGGTTTTTTTCTTCCAATCTTCTGTTATGGTTATATTCTTTACTATTCTTCACAAATGGCTGTTTCTACTACAAACCTGTTCTCAAAGTGCCGAATTTTTCGGCAATTTGTTGCTTCCCGCTTTTGGATTCCTGTTGAGGAAAAACAAACAAGGCATTTAAATTAGTATATTTTAAGTTCTGATTGGTGAAAGTGCATCTGCCTTAATTATTTATTTAAAATATATCCCACCTTTCTCCCAACATAGCACACCAAGGCAGCTCAGAACAATTTAAAAAAAATTAAAAAACTGAAATACCTGCCACTGTTACCTGTATAAGTTCTTATTGAGCATCATAATCATAACAAGAGTGAAAATAATGCATTTCAAATATCTGTTTTTTCATGTTTTCTAGTTCCTAGATTCATCCAGAACAACAAGCCAATGCAAGAAAGACTGCCTTATTATTCAGTCTTCCTCTCAAGTTAGCTTTCTGACATTCAGATGGATAAGAAAGTAGTGCATGAGAATTATAGCTATCTCTCATTCTGTTAAATAACAGAACTTTTAAGAAACACTGCCAATAAAAAATTGAAATTGATTATTTCCATTGTCAGCCACATTGGGTTTTTTTAAAAGTATGGTTGTGGAACCCTTCAGGTGATTTTGGGGAGGGGGGATGAAGAGACAGGTAGAAGAGAAGGGTGATGTGTAAAATCAGAAGTAAGAGTATGAAGGATGAAAAAGATGATCAGACTATAAAGGAGAATGAGGGTAAAAACAACTAGCAAAAAGCATAAGGCAGGTGTAACATCACTTGAAAGCAAGTATGAAGTATTTTAAAAGCAAAAAATAACTCAAACTTCCTGTCTTAATTAATAATGAGCACTATTTGGCTGAGAGGCCCCCTGATAGTGCAATGGGTTAAACCACTGAGCTGTTGAACTTGCTGACCAAAAGGTTGGTAGTTCGAATCCAGGGAGTGGAGTGAGCTCCCATTTTTAGCCCTAGCTTTTGTCAACATAGCAGTTCGAAAACATGCAAATGTGAGTAGATTAAGGGGTACCACTTTGATGGGAAGGTAATGGTGCTCCATGCAGTCATGCTGGCCACATGACCTTGGAGGTGTCTATGGACAAGGCTGGCTCTTCGGCTGAGAAATGGAGATGTGCACCACCTTCCAGAGTCAGACACAACTAGACTTAATGTTAGGGGAGACTTTTACTTTACCTCAGGGGTCCTCAAACTAAGGCCCAGGGGCCGGGTGCGGCCCTCCAAGGTCATTTACCCGGCCCTCGCTCAGGGTCAACCTAAGTCTGAAACGACTTGAAAGCACACAACAACAACAACAATCCTATCTCATCAGCCAAAAGTAGGCCCACACTTCCCATTGAAATACTGATAAGTTTATATTTGTTAAAATTGTTCTCCATTTTAATTATTTCATTGTTTAAAGTGTTTTTTGTACTACAAATAAGATATGTGCGGTGTGCATAGGAATTCATTCATGCTTTTTCCAAATTCTAATCCAGCCCTCCAACAGTTTGAGAGACTGTGACCTGGCCCTCTGTTTGCAAAGTCTGATGACCCCTGAAGTAAAGTATGACAAATAAAAAAGTAGCAAACCTTTTAAAAGAATATTATTTTGAAAATCCTGAGAGTCAAAAGGTCATTGACAAAATCAGGAAAGTAAAGTTCTGACAGAAATCTACAGCCTGTACATCAACACAGAAAAAGTCCCACTGCTAAGAATGAGGAAGGATACCACAACCTTTTCAACATAAAGAAGCCTGAGACAGTAAGCACAGCATCCAAAAAAGAATTATAATTAGAAAGACAATATAGTATTTTTAATTCATCTAATTATACCTTTAAGAGTTTCTTTACGCTGCAACTTGTAGGTCTCTTTACCATGACAGAGGCGATAAATAAAGAAACCCAGCTGATCCACATTTTCTATGCGGTCAGTGACAATCATCTGTTCATGTATCAAATATGACTGAGGCAAGTATGTTCCAGCCTAGAGTAATGAAAATAGTAATGCAACAATTTAGTGTCAAAACATTGATGTTACCATAACAATTGTTTTAGGTCCACAGAAAAGAATTTTTATTTCTGAAGAATGTGTCAGTCGAGGAGAACTTTTGAAAATATATGACATTGGTTTGGAATTAAGAGTTGAAATCGTAAGGCAGGGGACCACAGCTGGCATCCTTTCTCTAACACAACACTAAGGTTAATTAAAAAGCTTCCATAGAACAGTGGACAGAGCCTGCTTCACAAGGAGTTATTTTCAACAGCACATTGACAGATGGGGAGTAAAAATTACAAAGTGAAATGGAGAGAAAACTTTCCCCTCCCCTATTGATTGTTCATCCTGGAAAATAACTCGGTGTATTGCATGTGTACAGCAGTGGAAGAACATATCTAAAAATGCGATAGATAACCTGTTATCTTTGTGATGATGTTCTGCACTTGTGTAGTTAATTTTGTGTCTGTGTACACGGAAGAGAAGCACAATAATAGTTAGTCATAAGTACCCTAAAGGCATCAGATCCCGTTTGATATTGGAAGTTAGGCAGGATCAGCCCTGGTGAGTACTTTGCTGGGAGAATGACAAAGAATACCACGTGCTGTGGGCTCTATTTCAGAGGAAGGAAATGGCAAAGCCACCTCTTGAGTATAAGAGAACCATATAAAATTCACAGAGCTGGATAAATTGACAGACAATTTGAAACCACAAACATACACAAGCGGGATTGCAACTTCAGAAGTTTGGGACCCTGGTAAACTGTAACCCAATACGATTTTTAAAAGTCTTCCCCATTAAACAGAATAAAATCTCTCTTGGTTTGCCACACATTGGTGGAATGGAACTGTTTTCAAGCCAATACAGAGCAGAAGTGGAGAAAATGTTTGCAGCTTGTAATCGGGAAACACCCTGAAGTGCTGCTGTGTTGGAATACATTTATATACAAAAAATTGAAATCTTGGCAGGCCTAGGAGCCAAAGTCTTAATGCTGTCTTAGGTATACTGCAAGCAATATCAACACTTACAAAGATTTCTCTCCCATGTTATACTTGTATGCTTAAATTTGATTTGAAATTGTAATAAAAGGATACAGATTACTGAATGTTTTTAAAACAACTCCTAATAATTTAACCTAGAAATAATATCATACGAAAACTGACTGGCACAACCTGGGGATCACAACCAGACACAGTGAAGACATCTGCCCTTGCACTATGCTACTCTGCTACTAAGTATGCATGCCCAGTGAGGAACACATCTCACCACGCCAAAACAGTGGATGTGGCTCTTAATGAGACATGCCGCATTATCACGGGGTGTCTGCGCCCTACACCACAGGAGAAATTACACTGCTTAGCCGGTATTGCACCACCTGACATCTGCTGGGAAGTAGCAACCAATAGTGAAAGGACCAAGGCAGTGACATCTCCAGCTCATCCCTTGTTTGGATATCAGCAAGCATGTCAACGACTTAAATCTAGAAATAGTTTTCTAAGATCTACAGAGACACCTACTGGAACACCCCAGCAAGCGAGAGTCCAAAAGTGGCAGGCTCAAACCCAGAACCTCAATCAATGGCTGATACCAAATGAGAGACTCCCCCCTGGGCACACAGAAAACTGGGCAACTTGGAAGGCGCTGAACAGACTGCGCTCTGGCACCATGAGATGCAGAGCCAACCTTAAGAAATGGGGCTACAAAGTGGAATCCATGACATGCGAGGGTGGAGAAGAGCAAACTACACACCACTTCCTGCAATGCAACCTGAGCCCTGCTACATGCACAATGGAGGACCTTCTATAGTAACACCAGGTAAAGGACCTGGTCAAAGGACATTTAATCAACTACCAAGCTTGCAAACTTTGTGTTCTGTTTGTTTGTTTGTTTGTTTGTTTGTTTGTTTAAAAATGCAGTACAACTGTTTGGTTTGCTCCTGACATGATAAATAAATAACCATACCTTGATGTTAATCAGCAACTCCAAAAAGTTTTTGGGAGGCATAACAACTGACATATTTAATGGAATGACATAGCACTTGTCCAGACTGAGGTCAAGGTAAGCTGTAAGTCTCTGTTGCAAAAAAAAATAATATAAATATCATGTTAAAAGAGTATGCCAACCAATTCCTGCTTCAATTCCAAGCTGATTTTCAAAGGTTCCTTACCCTGTGAAAGTCATGAACAATGTCAGCTGGATCACTGTCAGCAAATTCTGGAACAGGCACACTGATAAACTCTACGTCTTCCTCCTGGAGGATCTTAATGTTTTCTTCAATTATGTGATAGCGTGGAGCTGGGGCATCTGCTTCTGCCTCCGTAAGGCTCAAGCCATCCTCAATATATTTAATTCCACAGAAGTAAACACCACTTTCCTTAAAAACAAAAAAAAACAAAGTTAAAATGTATAAGTAAAATTGTACAAGCTTTCAGACATTTTTTGTTTACGTACCTTTAAGCCCCAACATATATCAGTTTGGGGGAAATCTCTCAAAAATGGCTCTGAGTACAAGACTGGCTCTGAGAAATAGACTCACCACAAGATGCCTTTACAGTAAACCTAACACCTAGAATGAAAGGAAAATTCAATTCATTTCCCCTATCTTCTTGCTTGCTTCTGAGGGCCCTTCCTCAGAGCCATAAACCAGAATATCTGCTATGAACTGGATTATCTGAGTCCACGCTGCCATATATCCCAGTTCAAAACAGAATGTGGGATTTTATTCAGCTGTGTGAAAGGGGCCTTTGTCTTAGAGGAAATGCTAGATATTATGAAAAACTAAGAAAATAATTATCTGTAACAAAAATAATTTTTAAACATTGTATTAACTAGTCAACACTTTGTATAGTATCTGCAGGAATTAAAATATAATAGAGGCAAGTCTAGAAAAGGAACAGTAAATAACTAGAGCAGGTTCTCAAGAAATGATATGAGTAGAACTTCTTGAACAGTGCCTTGCTCACAGGCCAGAGGCTTAGACCAAAAGTAATCCAATCTCCTCCTTGCTTCAAAAAGGACTGAACACAAAACCCATTAGGAGTGAGAACAGCCAATATGTGCAGTGAGAGATGATTATTTTCTTGAGTTAATATTTCTGTGCGACATATTCCCATCTTGAATTCCCAGGGAAGACATCTGATTTGTTACAGAAATGAAGTAACATCATATCCAATGTTATTTTTCTGCCTTTCGATAAAATATATTCTGTAAGGCAGAATGGGGGGAAAGGTATGCATATGCTTACTTAAGAGTCCAAGTCAAGATAGAGAGTTGAGTATGTTTAGTCTGGAGAATCATGGGCCATCCAGTCCAACCCCTTGCCAAGAAGCAGTAAAATTGAGTTCAAAGCACCCCTGACAGATGGCTAGCCAGCCTCTGCTTAAAAGTGCCTTGGACCACAAAAAGATCAAACCAGTCAATACTCCAGGAAATAATACTCAACTGCTCACTGGAAGGAAGGATATTAGAGGTAAAGATGAAGTACTTTGGCTACATCATGAGAAGACAGGAAAGCTTGGAGAAGATAATGATGCTGGAAAAAAGGAAGGAAAAAGGAAGAGAGGCCGACCAAG